TTGGGAAAAAATTAACACAATAATAATATGAGATAAGTATTTATTAAAAATAATGACAATTAAAAGTAAAAATTAACATTCGAAACATTGGTCCAATTATTGATAGAGAGAGTTACATTTTTGTTTGGTACATTTATTGTTGATGAGTTGATTTGAGTATTTCTCTGTTCTTGCGTCTGAGGAACTTGCGTTTCATTGTAGATAGTATACGTCGGAGATAATGGTGGTGGTACATCGTGAGTTACGGACGAAGATAAGATGCCGGAAGATGATGGTTGTGGCTCTGATGGATTAAGTTTTATATTTTTGTTAATTTGACTGCTTAATATGGTTTTATTTGCCATTGAGCTTTCGATATAACCCTCAGCTACTATATCAGAGCTCCAGCCACCGTGTCTTTTTATTGACGTAATATCCGCCCCTGAATCCGCCAAAAATGTCGCCGAAGTTCTTCTAAAGCAGTGACCGGTGTAGTGTTCAACATCTTTAAGTTTTAAAAATTTAGTAATTTTCTTTGCCATATTGCTAATTTTATTTTTGCCGATGGCTTGTCGAGTACATTTCCCATTCCGATAGTTTATAAAAAATCTATTTTTTCCATGTTGGTGGGACGTAATGCTTGGTATTTATGAATGATTTTAGTATATTGTCTTTTTACAATGAATGACCGATTTTTCTTTGTCTTAATTGCTTTTACATTAATCAGCAGTAACTCATTGGAATGATTTTCAACGTCCTCCACCTTTAAGTTTACAAGTTCACATCCGCGGCAAGCACCAATGAGTCCAAAAATTAAGGCCACCTATAACAAAGATAAAAAATAGGTCGATATATAAAATAATTACCATTACTAAGATACGAAACGAAATATTCATAGTTAAATCATGTATACTTACTTTTGTGGGCAGAAAAATTTCGTCAGCAGCTTCAATAAGAAATTTTTCCACATTTTGAGTCGTAAAAATTTTAGACTTCTTTGCACAATGCCCTTCTGAATTTCTTTTAAAAAAAGCCAGTAAATTCGTGAATCTATTTATTTCAATGCTGTGCTTGATGCTTATTGTAGCTTTCAGTTTTGAGTATATGCACCAAAATGTATTCGGATTCTTTGTCTTGGATAAATAATCAAAATAGACAAGAAGTACTAATTCTGAAAATCATAGGCCTTTCGCACTTATCAACGTTGAAAATTCTTCATAAGTTTTTAAATAATTTTCCTTGGATTTTGTTAGAAGCAAATTATTTATAATTGCGGCAGCATTTGCATTGATGGAATCCGACAATTCACTGTCACTGTCGCTTTCATTTAACATCGTAACGTATTTTTAGAACATTAACTTATTTATAAAAATAAATTAAAATAAACTTAAAGTTTATGTATTTGAAGAAACCAAAAACGCGGCAAATTCCTAGACTAATATTTTTTTGGCGGAAAAGTTTTTTTTTAATAATCATAACTGCACAATAAATGCGTATTCCTTTTTCAAAAAGATGTAGGTATAATGCTTTATAAGTACATACAGTACAGTACAATTTTATTTTCTTGTTTTCAACAGATTAAAAATGACTATTGTTATGTTCGCTTTTTGTGGCATACAATGTCACTTTTTTGAGCAAGTGGTATGAAAAGGTTATTTATATCTCCGCCTGATTATCACTTCAACATATTAATGCTATGAATGTGCAAGATAATTATACACCTACATTTACACAACACACCTATATAGTTGTGAAGTGGTTGTGAATCAGTCTCAACATAAATAATAAACGAAATAATTAATAGACAACTTCAAACATACCAAAAATAGTATGTAATGCTTAGAAATTGTTAAAATACTACACAGGCAATCACTCCCTACCAAGACACATGTATTAACAATATAGGGCCAGATTTCAGTTGGACAAAATAAAAGAAATCGTCAAACTAAGGCAGTCACACAAATATAAGATCACAATGTACATACATACATAAATTTTATAACAATGTCTGTGGTCAACAAAGGAGTATATGAGAAGGTTTGAATTAGTATCAGATCAGTAGAAAAATTTAGTGATAACCATGCATTACCTTATTGTGGGCATACAATAAGTAAGCCATCAATGCCAATCAAAACTGTTTCACAATACAATGTTGTTCAGTGTTTATGAAACAATAAACAACTAATTTTGACGACCTCCGTGGCCGAGTGGTTTGTACGCCGGGTTTCAAGGTGTCGCCGACTCGAGAGGTCCCAGGTTCGAGTCACGGTGGGGGCAGATGTTTGTGTGATGAATACGAGCATTTGTACTCCAGTCATGGATGTATAATATATATTTCTATATAAATATACTTATATATGTACTGTATATGTATTCTATCCATTACCCTAGTATCCCATAACACAAGCCTTACAGTGCTTACTTTGGGGCTAGGCTAATTGGTGTGAGTGATGGTAATATTTATTTATTATATATTTATTTAATTTAACTTCTTCAAAAAATATTAAGTGTGTCCCTGTAAAATAAAAGTGACCATGTTTTAGAAACCACGAATCCCTAGAAGATTACATATATTATCGGTTCCCAAGTGTAGGTTAAGCCAAATGAGTAAATAAACATTTTTAACAACTTCTATAAATGATGTTGCAGGCAAGTACATATACATATGTATGTCACGCTATCTTCTTTTACACATAATGCCACCTGTGGATTCAGCATTGTATAGAATACCTATAGGCAATGTATAAAATAATTAATATTGCATATGTATTGCCTAGGTATTGTATAGAATTATACAGATTGACGGTAACATATATAATAATAAAAATTGCACATAATACTGCAGATGAAAATGTACTTGGGATTAAACTATGTCCTTATTATTGACTAGTTATTCATCAAGATATGAGATAAACTCATTGGGCAACAGAAGATGTGCACAGCCTATCAATACAAATATTTATGCAAAGACACAAAAAAATACTTGTAATCCTACAAGACGATTGACTTTATACAGAGGATCATTGAGCATGCATCTGTTTTATATTGGCGATGAATAATGTGGTTATTATATGTGTAAAGTTTCACATAATGCTATTGACCACCAGCTGAGTAATAGAAATAAACTAAAAGCCAAAAAGTGCTAAACTGTGTAAAAATAGCACTACTTTAGCTTTGTTATTTTCTTCCTTTTCTTTCCTTTAAGTTTATCTTGGATTTTTCATTGTAGGCTGTGTTAATTTTCTTAGTAAACATAGCCAGGTTTCTTATAATACATACAAGTCAAGCAAAATATCATTAGGGGTTGGTCAAATAACTATTTATTTTAATTGTATGTATAACTAGCATACAGTGTACTGGCTAAAAAATAACTTGGTACAATTTATTTTACAAAGTCCAAATTTTTACTTGCTACTTTTTGCTATGGTCTATAACAATCAATTTGATTCATGAGTAGAAACAAAATTAAAATAAACAAAATATATTACTTCTTCCCCTAGACCAGGTACTGATTTATCACTAGAAATAAAAATAATGCTTACTTTATTATGTCGTAAAATGAATTGGTTTGTAATGGTACCCCATATTACAAGTCCATGTAATCATATATATTAAAGAACTAAATATAAGATTTGTATACAGAATTGCATCCTCTATTTATTGCTTACTTCTGGAAGTGATATTAATATTATTGATATTAGTTGTATTTGTGTCAAGTAAATACCTCAATTTAAAAAATCAATTTCGTTATAAAATGTCTCATCAGCATAAAACACCAAAAAATAATAATACTCAATTAAATAGGTTAAGCAGGAATGTAACAACTAACAAAGTTTGTAGCAATAAAATGGCAATCATAATATTTCTAATATACATCATAAAATTAGCAAAAAGAAAAATCACAACAATATAATAAAAAAAAACTTAAATACTACATACCTTTAATAGAAAATGATGTCCAAAACAACACTTAAAATTCTTTCTTAGAAACACTCACATAACATGAAGACCAATGATAACAATCCAGCATTTATTACAGTTCACACAACTTTTCACTAAGAATACTAGAGAGCAATCACAAGGAATACAGCATCAGTTCAAAAATATTCAAGTGAACATCAGCTGAGTGGCATAGCTGAGCAACACTTGGCACACCGCCCGAGCCACCTGAATGTATGCCTAACCACTCCACACAAACAACACATGAGCACAGTGACTAGACAAATTAAATTTTCTAGTTGAACAATCATACATACTCTGAATGAAATATTATTTCACAATAAAAATAGTAAACACATAAGTGAAATCATTTTTTTTTTGCAATAACTTTTAATCTAAGTTTATTTACAGTAGAGTACTACTTTTGTAAAACTTATATTTCCTTTTAATATTTTACTCATATTATTATATGTAATTTGCATACCAATTAATGATAACTGTTGTCGTTTCGTGTTAGTGTGATACTAGTAGCTGTTGTAATCAAGTCAACAATAAAGTTATAATCTTCATCTAAATAGGGCAGCATCTAAGATAATAAAACTTGTATTGACATATTTCGGTAAAACCCTAGTGGATACGCGACAGTCAATTTGGATTTACTTGTTTATTTAACAAAAACCGTATCTCATAGATCACACCGATTATGCACTGAAAGTGTTACACAGAAGTATTAGGTGAACGTACGCGACTCACGAAGTAATTTTAGACTACATTTCCATTAAAATTAAACGTTTGAGAACAGCACCATTTAGTATGAACACCATTTGTATAAAATGCACAAGTATCAGTAAATTTCAAAAACCAATCACACATAATTTTTCAGTTAGAAGTTAATAATTATTACAGTACAAATTAACGAATCAGAACAAAACGAATACAAAGTGACGGTAAAAGTGCTAATTTTTATAAATTTTAGATGGCTTGTATTGAATTAATTTATCGTAAGACGACCATTATCAGTAATATTATTCTACAATAATATAATATATGTATGTAATAAGATTTTAATGATGTTTACTGACCTTTTATTTCACTTGAAATACAAAATACACTCCCCTTCATTCACGACCATTGCTAGAACCATAGACTAACTTTTTTTTTATTTATTGGCAATGACTACATTGTCCTTATGCCTTACCATAGACTAACTTTTCTTTATAATTTATTCATGACCATGGATACAAGTTCTTCAGTCGTATACATAAATACAAATCTTAATCTTCTTTTTTCTTACATTACAATGTCGGTGTGACGCTTTCTATTGTTTCTTGGAGTGTTTGAGACGAAATCTATCAAGTTATTTTTTTCGATAAGCTTCTGTGAGGTAGTCAACACCTCAATAAAGTTCTCACGGCCACTTGACCGGAATAGCGTATATTTTAAAGATTCTACTAATTCTTCAGTTGCGCAAATGATTGTAACACAAAATCACACCAATTTTATTTCACAATATCCACTATGAACGAATTTAAGAATGATTAAAATAAAACGCCAACCATACTCGATGAAATCCCGCCAAAAACTCCCCATAGACCAACTCATAAACCAGTGTTGCCAGAGCCTGCATGGCAAAAGTTGTCAATGTTGGCTTGAAATGTTGTCATCTGGACCCAATTTTTTTCATTACAATAAAAAATTGAACTAATATACAAATCGCACAAAAAGTGAATATTTTATAATAAAACAATACCTTTCAATGTTGATATTGAATAATCGTTCCGAAAAAAAAAATCTAAACATGGGGGGCTACCATAAAAACATTATTTTTTTGTCAGGCAGCTTCAAATTTTAGTTTTTTCAAATAATACTTTGGAACAATGTTAGGAACACCTAGAACAACTTAGAACAACTGAAAAAATATTGAATTTCCAAACATGGGGGACTACCATATAAAAAAGGTTTTTTTGTCTGGCAGCTTCAAATTTTAGATTTTTCAAATAATACTTTGGAACAATGTAGAACAAACCACGGGGGATAATCTTCATACAACGGAATGCAATCATAGTCGGCCGCCATTACTGGAATTAAGTGACATTTCTTTTTTTTAATTTTGATGAAATTGCTTCTTTGACAAGCATGACATGACACATGACATGTATGATACGCCGTTATTGTTCATTGCGATTTGTGTTAGTCAAGTACTTGTGCTTATTACTCTCCACTTTATATGCAATTAGGCCTTCATTGTTATTCGTATTTTACGTCTTTTACGATGTAATACGAGTGCTGTGTGTGCAAAAGATCGCGACAGGACGCTTTATTATATCATTTTCCTGGCAACTGGAAAAGACTTACTATGTGGTTAAAGTGTATAAACCGTGATGATTTGAAGGCATTACCTAAAGATCAGCTTTCGAATCTTTTCGTGTGTCAAAAGCACTACGAGACTCGTTTTATTACGTCGGAATCACGGCTTCAAAAAAATTGCTTATCCATCATTGTTCACTGAAGTCAAAATATTGAGTGGAATTATTGTCACCTCCACCTATTACAAAACAGTGTCTTATGCAATAAGTCAACTTTAATAAAAAAGTTTATCAACATTATATATATAAATTGTATTTAATAAAATTTATTTTTCAGCTGGCACTGTGAAAATCAGAGGGGTGAATTTAAATATTATTTATGACCCCTGTCATTTGATTAAGGGGTTGCGGAATAACTTTATAACTAAAAATATATTAATGGATGGGAGAACTTCCAAATGGAGTGATATTGTTGATGTCTACAAAACAGACTGTAGTCATGCTGAGATCAGGCTATTACATAAATTGAATGACGAACATGTTATTCCAGAAAAGATAAAGAAAATGAAGGTGGGTTCTCCTTCATTACTACAAAGAAATAATCTTGCAAAGCTAGTACAGTCAGCATCAAAAGTACAATCATCTGATGCTGACCATATCATATGTCTTACATAATATCTGGTTGGTGGTCTTACTTATTTTGTCTTGTCAACATTTTATTAAAATTTGTATTTTGTTATAGGTAAAGAATTGTGTAAAAGTATTAAGCAGTACCATGTCTGCTGCATTATCATACACTGCAAAATTTTGTAAGTATATTTTATAATACTGAATAAACATTTAGTTCTGTTGTACTGAAGTAAAAGGTGTGTCATGCTCATCTTAGATAGAAATAAAATAAATTTAATGTTATTTCACTAACAGACAAAGTAATGGTCATAATATGACATGGTACAACAGGACTCGTAAAACAATCTATAGATACAACAGGACTCATAAAACAATCTATAGATAGTATAGTACAAAATTGCTCTTTCTATATGTACCCCTAAAACTTTTAATCTAGGCATCGGATTCCATGCAGTTTTTAGCAATAAAGAAGAATGATCGAAGAGGAACATTTACATATATATTATAGTATACATTGCATTCGTACGAAGCTGGGGGCAGCGTTTTAGTATAAGTTATAAATATTTGTAAAAAGACATTATTTTTATAGGATGTTTAAAATATTGTTTCAGCGCACTATGCCGATGGTAGACCCGTCAGTGAAACCCTGGACAACACCGCAAAGCCCGTCTTATTCTTAGACCAAATATTTGATAGCATAAACGGAGCCTCCATGTTAGGGAAAAAATCTAAAGGGAAGTGTCTACGAACGGCGGTCACAAATAATTCACCGCATCATGTATTCTGGAATGAATCTATAAATAAATTACAAATTATGAAATATGTCGATAATACAGGAACAGAAAAGTCAGTGCCCTCATTGCCAAATTTTATAACTACATTAAAAAGTTATCAGAGGCTGTGGCAGCTTTTTAAAAAAGAAAATATGAAGATAATGCGTCCGAGATATTTTAATTCTGACCCTATTGAAAATTTCTTTGGGCAAGTGCGAGCCTATAATTTTAGGAACAATGACCCAGACTGCCACAGCTTCAGCTGCACATATAAATCCTTACTAATAACTAGAATACTAAAATTTCATAATGAAACGTTTACTTGTGAGGATGACCCGGCTGATCAAGTACTTAATTTGCAAACACTGTTTGATGACAGAGATATCATGCCGGGTCATCCCAGTATTGATATGATTTTAGAACAGGTACGAAGAGAAAAAATAAATGTACACTCACGGGCCTATACTGCTGGATGGGTAGTGCAAAAGGTATTGCAAAATTTAAAAAGTGGTTGCACAACATGCAAAAATTTCCTCACCACCAGGGACTTAACTAATATACATGTTTGGATAAGTCACAGAGAATATACAAAAGCTAAAAACCGGTTGCACTACCCATCAAAAGGTGCAGTAAGGTGCTTTGGTACAATAATTAACGAATCAAATGAATACTTAGAAATAAAAGGACATGAAACAAATATAGCCAAGAATATAAAAGAAGTAGTTATTTTTAAGTATTAATTTGATTATATTGTATGTACCGAGCACAAGTTATTGGTAATAGATAATTTTGTAAATTTAGTTATTAAATTTGCCATAATCAATTGGTGCAGAACAATAAACAAAATACTAAAGGGCACTGACATTTTCCGATTAAGTAATCGTTCTTTGTCTATGACGCAAAAAATGGCGTTGGAAAAATATAATAAAAAATTAAAAAATAAATCTTTTAATAAATAATTCATGTGTTTTATTGAAGTTCCTTTAATTATGAATAAAAATTCCGATTAAGTGGGATACCTAGGTACCTAAAATTTTATGGATGAATAAAGTTGAGCCTTAGCCACCCTTTGACAAAATTTTAAAAAGTAAGTAAATGTCATACAAGACTAGAAGTACTTGTGTAGACGCTAAGTTTTTTTTGTACTAGAGTCGGTCGTCTGATACGTAGTATCTCTAACTAGTCTGTGGAACAAACATAGAACAATCCAGAACAACCTGGATAATAATAAAATTAAAAAAGTGGGTGGCTAACTTCACAGACGTTTTGATAGGAGATAATTGAGTTAATATTTCCTAAAAAAAATTAACTCCACTTTCTTTGTACCATAAAATTCAACAAAAATAATATTTATCCCAGCCCATGCATATGTGTTTAAAAAAAATAAGACATAATAATCCCATTAGCTACACCGGAATTCATAGTTAGTGTTTGTAGGTTATTTTCTTTTCCATCATCTTTTCTTTTGGTTCGAATATAATTGCATTTTTAACAGCTTGCTTTCATACCATTAAAGATGATATTATGGTCTCCGTATTAGGGCGGTTTCTATTCTCCGTTTTTATTAGTTTAGCTGACTGAAAATCCGGATATTTAAGCAATCTTTTATTTTCCATTGATCGATTTATGTCCACTTGCAGCAAATTTGTTAAATCTTGATTCAGATTTAGCCCATACAATATTGTTTAATTGACTGACACTTCTATGGATTAAATCTAGTTTTTGTTACATCGAAATTTTGCAAATTTGGTGCAACTGATCCTCAAAAATAATCAATAATTTAAATATTAATTTAAAAATTCGCGGTATTGGTATTTTAAATAGCCCGCGTAGAAACTGTATGAGCGATTGTCAAACAGCCATATTTATGATTAAAAATTAAAAAAGAAAAATGTGTCAAACTCTAAAGAACCGTGTCCGTATTGGTTTTTCTAAGATTCCCGTCTGATGCGTAGTATCACCTTAATAGTTTGTGATAAAAGTAGATTAAATCGCGCCGAACTAAATTAGTAGAAAGAATTTGAAAAAAAAAGATACCAAATTCACAGACTTCTTCGTACCTATCTCTATACCACTTATTAATAAACGAAACCTACTCATGGATTAGTTACTCTATGGTTTGTCTCTATCTAATGAATGACAAATGGCATTTGAGTGACATGAACAAAACACGGCGTAACTAGTCTTAAGCTTATTTCTTATTTATTAATAGGGGGGTAAAAGGTTTAATCTTAGATTAAAACAAAAAGGGAAGATACGGTACGATCATACTAGCATCAAATAAAATATGCTCATGCTCTGCTGCATGTAAAATACGCACACTTCTGTAAATAAACATTTAATCGAGTGAGCAAAATAGAACAGTACCCCCAGGTCCGTGGGGACAAGGGCGGGGGATGGTCAAACAAGAAACTTGCTTGATGATCACCTACTCTCAGTATCTGTCCGATACTGGGTTTGGCGAACGGGTTAGGGAGTAGCGCAAGTCGCAAGGAACCCCTAATCAAGGCCAGAGGACTATCCTTCACGAGTTTGCCGCCCGTTTTTAGTCAAATACCTTCTGTAATTGACGTAACAGAAACCTCTGACCGGACCACAAAATCCCGCATAATAATAATAATAAACATTTATTTCAGATTTTAAATCCATATAAGAGTGTTAGTAACAGACGAAATCTTATTCTAGTGTTAGTAAATGAAAAAAGTACAATCGAACACAAATAACTATATAATACATTCAGATTCCGATGGGACTCGTCTGTTATTTATAAATAATTATAATGACAGACTGGCGAATGTAGCTTAAGCCAGTGTCGCAATAGTGGGGAGTCCCATCGGTCAGCCAGTGCGCTCAGGACACTGTTGGAGCTGTCGCGCACGCGCGCCCACTGCGAGGCGCAGCGCTTTCTAATGATCGTGTAAAAGCAATCAATACGCGCCTCGGCAGACCGAACAACATCCTGAACGTGTTATTATATTGGACTCGCAGTGCGCAGTATGTCCGCTGCGTAAAGTTCACCCAAAGACCGCACGTGTAGAACGACTGACAATAAGCTTTGAAAAGCGTCAGTTTGACTCGTTTACTACACTGTGCAAATCTGCGGGCCAACATGTTACAGCGGACACACAGCGCCCTACGTTCCCTCTCCATATTTACTGAGTCCGACAAGTTGTCAGTGACCCAATGGCCCAAATACTTGAATTTGTCAACTTTTTTAAGTTCAGTGCCCCCGAGTGTAACGGAAGATACACTGCGCTGACACCCTGCCGTCCCAGCTCGAAATACCATGAACTCACTTTTAAGACAGTTGTATTTGCGTCCATGAACCTCTGCATATTTTTCACACATATGAAGCAGCTTCCTCAATGCACCAATCGATGGGCTCTGCAGCACCATATCATCAGCGTAACTAATATTATTAATACAAACACCACCGACGTAGCATCCAATATAGGTACTGCTGAGCTCCTCGATTAGACTGTTCATGTACAGGTTGAAAAGTTTGGGCGAGCTTAACCCCCCCTGTCTCACCCCGCATTGCAACCTGTACCTGTCCGACTGCGAACTAGCCCACTTCACACAGTTGCTCTGATTGTCATACCAATATTTAAAAATGGATATAACTTCAGGAGGCAGCTTAGTATCACAATACAGTTTTTTCCACAATAGGTTGTACGATACTAGGTCGAACGCTTTCGACAAGTCCAAAAAACAAGCATAGACTGGGGTTTTTCTAGCTGTGTAGTACTGTACAGTCTGTTTGAGACAAAAGATGGCACTCTCTGTGGACAGACCCGGCTTAAAACCAAACTGAGCATCGTGACTCCTAATGTGCTCACCTAGTCTTTTATCCAACAGACTATCCAGCACCTTGGCTATAACCGTCGCTAAAGATATAGGTCTGTAATTGGACAAGTTGGAAGCATCTCCCGTTTTGTTTTTTATAATGGGCACTACAAGTGTGTACATCAAATCTTCGGGTAGGTAACAGTGACTCATACAAAGGTTAAAAAACATCGAAAGAACTCTAGGCAAGTGCACCCCTGCGTACTTCAGGTGCTCGATGCTGAGATCATCGTGACCGGGAGACTTACCTCTAACCATTGCCTTGATTGTAGAGGCGACCTCTCGCGCAGAAAATCTAACGGTTAAGTTCCCGACAGGAACTCATGCGAGTCCCCCAAAAGGGGAGAATCTACTTTAAAATGCTTTCGGAAGGCATTCACTATATCAGTCGGTTCATAAATACCATCTATGCTCACAGACTTTGCTTTGGATTCAGTTTTTTGGTATTATTCCAAAATTTTACGAAATTTTTATCAGTGTGATTCTGTGCGATAATATCTAATTTAATTTGATTCTGATGCTTTTGGCAATATTTTAATATAGCTTTGAAGTATTTTTAGTGGCTTTCATGTTATCGTAAAAAGAACCTGCATAGCCGAACCGCGGCGGCGCATATCCACACCCGGGCTCACATGGCCTAGGGGAATTAAATACCCCCTAAAACATTGTACCACACACCCTTGGGCAGGAGTCGTGTGCGTTATTTGGCATTTCCCGCCAAAGCCCCAAAACATTAAAATGAGTGCTGACAAAGAGATGACAGTACCCCAGGAGGGTATCGCGACTCGCGAGGAATCCCTCACCAAGCCTGGCTTGGTCTGTCCCGCGTATTCTGGGGGGGACAATCAGCGCTCAGGGAAGGGCACAAGCCTGGACCTGTCTGGCCTAGCTGAGGCCATAACTTCAGCTACAACAAGTAGTACAACACCTACACAAACACAGTGGACTGTGGTCGCCCATAAGCGCCCCTGCAAAGGGAAGACTGCTAATGCGGCGGCCACCCACAAACACTCAAACAAAGGCTCGCGGGGCCAAACAGAACGCAGTCGCCACAACCGGCGCGCGAGAAGGGAAGCCCTGCAGCCCAAAACTAAACAAAACACCACACAGTCGGTCACCGCAGCAGTGGAAACACAGCGCGAGCCTGTAGAAATACAGGGGGCCGACAAAAGACAACACAAACGCACAAAAACAACCACGACGGAGACCGAAACCGAGGGGTGATCGTGGTTGGCGGATCGCTGCGGAGGCTCCCACTGCTCCTGAAAAGGAGCAGCCTGGGACTGCGTGTGGCTCGGGTGAGGCAGCTTCTACGAAGCGGCCACGCCTGGACGACACGCAGTCTCCAAGGGGGGATGCCAAACGCGCGAAAACCGACGCGAAGACGAAGCGGACGGTGAGCTACGCAGATGCGAGTAAATCGCATCTGAGAGTAGCGGTCACCACCGTCCTGCCGAGGGACCTCTCGGCTGAGCAGGCGGAACAGCTGAAGGAGACCATCGACGATGGGATCCAGCAGGCAGTTCTGACTCGGCAGTCTCCAGATGCGCAGGCTCCATCTTTCCGCAGGCGTCCCTTCCTTTCGGACGGGGTGCTAGCGATGTGATGTGAGAACGAGAACGCACTATAGTGGCTTGAGCAAATGGTGAAAACCATCCCGTCACCCATACCGAACACCACATTAACGGTCATCAGGCTGTCGGATGTGAAGAAGAAACTCAGAGCTGGGCTTCTTCTCCACACCCGCATCACCGAGTCTGCCACATTGCAGAAACTCCTTTGTGCCCAGAACCCCTGGTACAAGGTCGAGTCCTGGCAGTGCTACGACATGACCGTTGATGACAAACCGGAGAGCAGTTCTAAGGAGAAGGTGGTCCACCTGATCCTTGGAATCCCCGAGGACCAAAAACAAACAATACTGGACAGGGAACGCCGTGTTGCACACATGTCTGGCAGCGGATACATCCGCTTTTTCGCGACAGACGAAGCAACAGTGGTCGACCCGACAGTAGCGACACCAAGTGCTACTACAGAGCAGGAAGGCGCTGCGATCCCGACACCCACCACCTCAGCTCTCCAACCGGGTCCGAGCGAGATGGAAGAGAAAGCAGGCCTGAGCTCTGAGGACAGCGTTAGCGACGAAGATGGCGTCCTTCGCAGTCCCTAGTAGCACCATCACCATTATGCAGACCAATCTCCAGCACAAACAGATTGCGGCGGCCACACTACGCAGGGTGCTGGAGACAAACAACACGACCGTCGCCCTGATTCAGGAACCCTGGATCAGAAATAATAGGATTTGCGGTCTGAACAACATCGGTTGTAAGTTACTTTTAAACACATCTATCGATAAACCAAGGACATGTATTTTTACACCCAAGTCTATAAAAACAACCATGCTTAACCAATTCTGTTCTAGAGACCTCACAGCTGTGACGATCCGATGATCAATATTATCATGATACTTGGATCGCAGTACCACAAGCTGTAGCAGTGATAGTTCGGTACGGCTACACTGGGAATATTATCACGATATCGTCAGAAGTTCTATTCTAAGAAACGTCAAACATTTTAAGAACCGAGGCTGTCTGAACTTAACTCTCTTTGCCTTCTAATGTAATGCCAGCACTTTATTCGTGTTGCCTACTGGTAAACTTGACACCAGTCTGTTCGTTTCATTCTTTATAAAGCGTGATAAGGACTGCAGTAGTCAAATTAACAAATAGCAAATACGAATAGCCTTTAAATGATAATACAAAACTAAAAAAAAAAAAACTCCCTTTGCCAGCAAACAATCAATCAGTAAATTAGATTTACAGGAAATAATAATTATTCCTTTTTTATTAATCATCATAAAACATTTAATTCGCTTATAATAAGGCACGTTAATAAATAAACTTATATCGACAAGGAAGTAAACAAATATAAATTTTAAATTTACCGCCAGAACCACAGCGTACGTAAAATGTTTTCATTTTTCGTCTTTCCATTTAATTATGGCGGACGTTCGTGTAACAACGTATTATCTCAATTTATTTGTAAATAAGTGAATATTTCGATCTTGATGTAAATTTTTCCTATCGAGTGTGCCGCAAGGGGTCGGTCGGGGCGGGCGGAAGAAGCTATGGCAGAAAACAGAAGCTCGGACAACGTCGTGATGCCGGACATTATCAAAGTATCCGAAGCCGACGCATTGGCGGCCGCGGCCGAGCACGAGTCCGACCGATCTGATGGCGGGCAAGTTTTGGCGAGAAGGGTCAAGACCCCCAGGCTATCCAATGATTCAAATGGGGTTGTTACGGTGCCGGTGTCTTTACCCGTCGGCACTCTTATCACAGGAACTACATTCAATGTGATAACATCAGATCAGCTACCTCACTTTAAGCCTATGCTGTGTGTAGATAACGGTTTTATATCTGGAGGGCCTGTTAGTGAAGATATAAAACCGACACATATTGTGATACAAAATCCTCCTTCGCCCGCGCCTTCGACGCATGAAGACGCAGGCACTCCTTCTGCGCCTGCTGCTCAGCGTGCCGCCAATGCCCGTTCATGGACTGAGACTGCAAATATGCCGATCCTACCGGTACGCTGTAAGAACATATCGGCGGAGCTTCATAAACAGAGGTTTGGCTCTGGAGGACGAGGAAGATGCATTAAGTATGGATTAGAATGGTACACCCCTAGTGAATTTGAGGCACTGTGTGGTAGAGCTTCAAGTAAGGACTGGAAGAGATCTATTAGATTTGGTGGTAGAAGTATTCAAGCCCTAATAGATGAGGGCATACTCACTCCACATGCTACAAGTTGTACATGTGGAGCATGCTGCGATGATCAGTCTGGTAAGTAGTATAAGAGTTTAATTTCTCACCAAAGTATGTATTATGAATGCATTTCTATACATTCAATTTATAGTTCAGTGTAGAAAACTGTAACTTTTGACAATAATTAGATAGTGGTTTCATTGTAAAGTACCAGTTATGATTTATTTCACAGCTATGGGACCTATAAGACTATTCACTCCAGTCAAAAGGAAACGAAAGACGCACCAAGACAACGAAGAGAAGAAGCCCAAGATGAAACAGGAGGGCAGCATTGGTGAGAGCGAAGTGGACAACATCCATCAGACGAGCAACAACAGTCATTCTAAGGAAGCATGGCAGTCAATAGCTGAAGGTCTTGATGGCAATGCTGATTACCAACTCTTGGATAATACTGATGTCAACACGGACCATACAGGATGTAAGAATATATTTCTTTTAGTCTTTCTGAATAATGCTGAGTAATTCGCGAAAAGATATAAATTTGATTGTTTCTTTTGGTTGGTTTTAAAACATTTTGTTAAATATTAATATTATAAACATTTATTACATTACACAATTATAAACATTTTATAAAATAATCTTATAATCGAGTCAGCTGCTATAAGAATATCATATTAACATCACAACAATCTAAGCTAGGTTTCTTCTTTTCTTTTTAATTTATGGTATCTTTTGATTAGGTTAATAATTATAGTTGCTAATAATTGTAGTTTAAGTTTAAAAACGATTCTTTGAAGGCTTAAAGAAATAATAAAGTATTGGGCATTAAATGACAAAATGGTTCAGGGCATGTTTATCAAAATCCAATGATTTTAACCAGCCTAGAGTTAAAAGATTCTATTCTAAAATTGTTAGTGAGTGTGACACTTGATAAACTGAGTATCAAGTGTAATAATATGATTGTAATACATATTTCTGTGCTAAGCGAGTTCATGTTTCAAAGTGTTAATTTGCTACTAAAGCTGAATAATGATATTTGATATATTTCTTATAACAATATATGAATAAAAAATACTATGCTGTGTAACAAGTAGTTCATGATTCTATTTAGGTAAATGAAACGGTAACTGCTAAGTATTATAAGGGACCTAAAATTTTGGCTATTATTACAATGTGATGTGTGGCATAGCTTTTAGTATTTTTTTACCATTTTTTTAACTATGTGCCTTGCGATAACGTATTGTTTTATAATGCTCACACCTAGTTTAGTGCATTAATTAGTTTATACATAATTATAAATATTTTAGCTCCTTTGCACCTGCAAGCCCCATAAACTTTGAACAGTTTTAGTTATTACTTTGTTGCACAGGATAGGTGAAGATAACAACCCAAAAAATTATGGAAAGCTCACACTTTTGAAGTAAATATTCTCAGAATTACGTTGTGTTATAGTTAACATAAAGTTGTAAGGAATAGAGAAGATGTTTTAAAGGAGAATACTGGGTCCATCTCTTTAAATCAGATCAAGTGATCAATGTAGACTAAAGTTTTCCGTGTTCATTGCTGCTCCTAGTAAATGAGTTCTATTTGGGACTCCTGCATGCTTTTACCTGTCCTGTCTCTTGCTGACCTCAGTTGTTGGGGGACTTATTTAAAGCGGTACTTTAACCCTTTGTGTGCATTGCTCCATGCAAATGTATGCCATCTATTGTGATGGACAAAAAAGTTCATGGACAATGTATTTTTTAAAACCATAGAAATTCTATACAAAAGCAAATACCTAATTGAACTTGATTTCTATTGAAAACTGCCCCCAAGAAAAGTTTAAAATATAAACCAATAATTTAATTAAAAATTAGTTTTACTCGCTTTGCATTCAAAGCTGTAAATACCATCGATTAAGAACTTAAAAATACCGTTGACCGTTTTTTGGGCTCAAAATTGCACTGTGCGCCGCCGTTTTTCAAACATCATATTTTGTATGATATTTACAATTATTTACGTAGACAGTGGCGCCCTGCCGATTGTGCAATATTTAGTGTTAACTATTATAATTTTGATTAAAGAATAATAGATAATAAATGATTGGTCACCTGTCAGACCAAGGCATTCGCAAATGTTTCTTACTTCTTTTTCAATTTTTCTTAATATGTTTTGAAACATTTGTAGATTTTATAATAAACTTAATTTTTTTACTTCAGGGCACTAAATTTCAAAAAACATATTGTTATTTGATATAATTATGATTGAAATCGGTCTAGTAGTTTTATAGCGTTTTCAATTCAATCAAATCTTTCCTCTTTATAAAAAAGTACAAATATATGATTTCATTTGTCTAATACTAAGTTATGCCCATCTTCCATGGCTTTACGTAGAAGGTTTTTAAGCAGAAACAATACTTGCTGCTTTTTACCGATCTCATTTGTTCAATATTTATTAATTACCTAAATAAAATCTTGCTACAATAAAAAAAAAACCCATGTCTCTTTCCAGGTTATAAGCTTGTCAAATTACAACCAAATTCGTTCGGGTTTACAAACATCTAAACATGATGAGCTACTAAAATCTTTTTCCACCACTCTCGCAGTGTATTCCTGTTTAGATTAGTACCGCGCACTCTCATTGTCATCATCGTAACTATTTAAATATTTCTCTAAATAACATACTGGAAAAGACAAAGTTTATCATCTTTAAATATCAGAAGCGACAAAAGTATTTGTTTTTATAAGAATCAATTTGTTAATACACTTTGGAAATAAAGGAGATTGCTCAGCTTCCATACATGTTTGGCCTAAAGACCAATAATCATGAAAAATTGTTTCCTAGATTCGAAATTATATATAAACTAGCAAACCCGGCAAACTCCGTTTCGCCACCAGATGGCTTCTTTTTATATAACATTTCGTTTGGTGATTAAAAGAAGATATTTTTTTATTATTTCCTGAATTTTCTTTGCTATAAACCCCACGGAGCCCGAGACCTTTCCAACGAATGCAAAACCGTGGAAATCGGTTCGTGCGTTCTGGAGTTATAGCGTCAGGAAGGAAAACCCGACTTATTTTTATATAGTAGATTACTGTAGAAATGAATATTATTGACGGACACCCCTGACAACTTCTATAATCCATATACACTGAACGATCTTGAGGTTATGTTTGCAAATAGGTACATAGGTATTAAAATAATAAAAAACAAATAAGTTATATAGTAAACTAGGGAAATCAAGCCAAGTACCGAAATTATGTATTAGATTCAGGTATATAGAGCATGTAGATTAACAGATAGTTGCCTGTTTTCAAAGTTAATGCACAAGAGTAACTTTTAAAATCAGGTATCATTTATGCATTTCCGATTATAATAAGGTACTCTGTGACAGAAACTGTGTGATGATTGTGAATGAGCCACAGATTAGAAATAATTTTTAAACTCTCGTTAACCAACGAAAGCTAAGAGATTTATGTTATACAGCCATATCTACAGTAGGTTCATTATTTTTGTTATGTTTATGTTATAACCATATCTAAGATTTTAGTGTATCACACCTTAGATTGTGTTTATGGAGGTGTTTGGCGAAAAATGTATGGCAATAGACTTTATGATGTCGCTTACCATCTATAATAATTGTCTTAGCACATTTGCATGTAGTGAAAATCATAATATAGTTGTAGATATTAATACCACAGTGTAATTAAAAAAAATGTTTTATTTTATAGATCTTTACAAAAGAGATTTGATTTTATGTTATATAAACAACTTCAATCGGTCTTTGGCTGAATGTTACTACACCCATAGCCATTAAAATTGATTCATATTATGTTTTCCAAACCGGTAAAATTAAAAGTCCTTTTTAAAATGAATATATTATACAAAGGTGTCCGTTAAAATCTAATGACTGTAAAATAAAGTATTTATTACGCCAACAATTACCGTGTATGTCAATATTTTTTGTGCATTTGGGCCAATTTGAGCAATCTCCTTTCAAAGGAGAATGAGAATTTTATTATGAGTGCCGTCCCTAGCTATATCAAGTTATGCCTAGCACAGACATGTTGTATTTATTGTCTTTAATCATATTTCAAAGGTATTTTGTTTGTATTTTGTGCAATAAATTTGATTACTATTTAAGTACTTATTGCCGATTTTTTTACTTATCTAGTTAAAAACATTTTTAATAGCTACTGTGTCGTTTACCTTTGCTCATATCTTTTTACTTGCATGAGATAGAAGATTTCTGCCATACAAGTAAAAAAGTATTTTAGAAGATCTTTCACTTGCGATAGGGCAAATTTCAACACTGGGGATGATATGGGGCATTTCTCCTTTTATTGTATTTTCGCTTCACAATTTTAGAGATAGTGGATTACACATAAAAGATAGATGTACGCTGCAGCAGACTTAATTGTAGAACTATTTAAGAGACACATTTCCACCATACAATGTAATCGCTCACTTATAGACATTTTTTTCCGAATTATGTGATACTTCTTATTATATTTTGGAAAAAATACTCAATATCAATAATTTACAGCCTATATGTTATTATCAGAATATACCTATTACTGCCAAGTTTAAGTTAAATCCATTTTTCGCGAAAGAGTATCAAATATCCATACAAACTTTCACATTTATAATATTAGTAGGATAGGGTTATTGCTTAACCATTGTTATTTTAATATCTTTGACATACCTATAATTTCGAATTAGATCTGTTAAATTTTTACCGCCAATCGCAAGCACCTAGACGGTCTATCAATAAATCAAAACAATAGATTGTGACGTTGCAGTGTTGCCCGATTTGGCTGGTGTGATGAAGCGACTGGACAACATCGGGCAGACGCTAGTTCGGCTAGCGGGCGAATTGAAGCAGTGCGTGGAAGAGGTGCGCATAGTGAGCGCGCGGCATATCGAGCGGCTCGAGCAGGAGCGAGCGTCCGCGTTACTCGCCGCTAGCGTGGACGCGCACGTGGATGCGGAACAAGTGTCGCTACAGAACGTGGACGACGCGGAGGCTAAGAAGGTACTGTCACCAGGGTACAGGGGCCAGCGTGGACAAGAGACGCGCGTACGATGAAGAGACTGGACAACATTGGGCATACGCTAGTACGGCTGGCGGGTGAGTTGAAGCAGTGCATGAAAGAGTTGCGTATAGTGACGTGCAGTAGCGTGCGTGCGCGTTACTCCCTGCTAGCTTGGACGCGCATGTGTACGCGGAGCAAATGTCGCTACAGCACGTGGACGACGCGGAGGCCAAAAAGTTTGTCATCAGGGTACAAGGGCCAGCGTGCACAAGAGACGCGTGTGTAACTAAGCGTGGTCGCGGAACAAATGTCGCTGCAGAATGAATATGACGCGGAGTCATAGGAGGTATCACAAACACAATATTATATCTTCTACAGGGGCTAGCGTAGACTGGAGACGTGCGTATGATAGCTAACGTGGATGCGGAACAAGTGTCGCTGCAGTACGTGGACGATGCAAAGGCCAAAAAGGTACCGTCAACATCATATTAGATCAAGACTGATTGTTTCAGAAGTTATTGCTTTATTGCGCTTTGTAACTATGTGATAGTTTAATATTCGAGGTACCGAACCATGATCGTATGTGGGTCACAAACGTCCGCGTAGTAGCGTAGTGTAGCTAAGATCGATAATTAAGGGCAAAACCAAACTGAGTTTGGTTCAATAATAAAGAAAAATGCTGTACTGTGACAGTGCAACCAAAAACTCGAACTTCAGCTTGGGGTAGTATTCTTCACCTATTAAAAACACTAGTCAAATAACATTATTATATAGTATTATAGAAGGGTCAAAAGTGGCACCAAGTTGTTCAGGTAATATTACACTCGTCGCTGGCTAGGCAGTTTCTTTGCTTAAACTTGGCTTGACACGCTGCCGCGTAACTAGATTGTGTTCCTAGAGTTATCTGCATGGTGTATGATATATAGTTCAGACCAGCAGCATGTATATCTGCCGCACAAGTCAAAACGGCTAACAACTATAGAAGGATCAATAGCAGATTAGCGTTCATGAAAGTTAATAAGCCACTGAGCTCCTTAGTTTCAGTAAATAAAGTTAATACCTAGCCCCAAAGTTAGAACTGTCAGGCTTGTGTTATGGGACGAATACATATAATGAGACATATATAAGTATATTTTATCTGGAAATATAATTATATAAACATCCATGACTAAGGTACAAATGCTCATATTCATCATACTAACTTTTGCCCCACCGGGATTCGAACCTCTGAGTAGGCGACGCCATGAAACCCGGCGTATATACAACTCGGTCACGGAGGTCGTCAAATAATAAAAACGAATGAGCCTTACAGTTGTCGCATATGATGTGTAACATTTGAAACCTCACCTTTTATTAGTAAAAAAAAAGAAATAAAATCTACTACAAAAGGAATAAGCCATACGAACATTATGTTCTAAAACCAAATCAAATAGCGCGCGCTTCTCAAACTTCCTGTTACACAGTTCCGTCCCACTTCACGTAATCACTCCCACAAATTGCATGAAAGCAAAAGGAAAGATGTTACACATCAAAAAGAAGTTGAGTTATCTATAACCTATCGATTTTGTTAAAGTGTGCGAACTGCAATCGCGAAGCGTCCGCAGAATGTTCACTATGCCGCCGCACGCCATACTGTTCTACCTACTGTCAGAAGAAAGACTGGGCCACGCACCAGATCGAATGCCTACGTATTGTGCCGGCCGTGCACGCAGACTCGCAACAGCACCAGTCCATCATGCTTATAGTGGAGAGCCAGCACCAATAGTATATTGGTAAGTTTAACTTCTGTTCGGCTCAAATACCTAGTAAATTACTACTACATCTAATATATAAAATTCTCGTGTCACGGTGTGCGTAATTGAACTCCTCCGAAACGGCTCGACCCAATTTCGTGAAATTTTTATATGCATATTCAGTTAGGCTGAGAATCGGACAACATTTATTTTTCATCCCCCTAAATGTTAAGGGTAGTTCACTGTTATTTTATTTTGTACAAAGGAGAATGCTCATGGATGTATGGACCGCCGTACAATGGTTGCATCAATACCAAATAAAATTAAATGTTAAATGATCGTTTAATATTCAAATTAGTATGACAAATTGGAATTTTGAAAATAAAAACAGGAGTTTTAATGTTATTGTTAAAAAATGTGACATAACCTCAAATCCTTAATAACTCCTATTTAAGGTTGGTTTACAGCTATTTTGGGTACTTTTTTATTCTGTTATTTTTGATCAACTTGAGTCTTTCACTGTTTTTCCAACCTACTGCATAGATTTTCATGACAACACAGATTTCAGTGATGGCAGATTTATGTATAGGTAAATAAAAACATTAATATAGGACACTTTTTATTACATTACATATATTAATTATACACATTATATTAAAATAATCTAAATAAGGCGCCAGAGCAGTAAAATCATTGTAACGACCCCAACTTAAAAACTAAACTACAGTCATTATGTGGTCCTAACAGCCCACAGGTTGTTTACCAACGAGACAGCTGCAGTAATAACCTTTTATAGCCTCTAATGTGTCTGCCAAAGCAGCATCTCTACTGATAAGTAAATATGTGTTATATGTACGCTGCTTAAGTGTCAGGATTTAATCCTACCTCTTAATAAATAATTATTTAGACCTAAAACAAGAGGAATATCATCTAACAACAAACAAATTCAAACAATTTCTAGCTTTTTTCTTACAACGTTCTAATGTAGCTTCAGGGTTATTGAAAAGAGTGGCCAATCTTTCGTTGCTATCAGCAGTTCTTAATTTAACTAAATAAATACAAAAGGCTATAGAACCGTTTGGCACTTGATCTGCTAGATTGGTATACAGTTGAGCAAATTATAAAACTGTTCAGAGTTCATACCAAGCCAATAATGACTTAAATGAGAGGACATAATTGAAACATTAGAAAAATCTAATTAGCAATTGGCTTGTCGCTGTATCATAATCATTATACTATCAAACGGTGTGCCAGTAAAATCCCTTAATTAAGATGTTAATTCATTCCATGAACCATAATTCTAATAGTGATGACAAACACATGCACCAGCTGGTATGCACAATTTATTATTATACAATAAGAGATCCCTGATGGTAGATGAAATAAGTAAACATTCAGGCTCTAAACAATTTGCAAATACACAGGAGAGTTAGCAGCATGTATGATGATGCAATTTTTAGAGTCACTTGTTGAACTGCTTCTAGTCTTGGTTGTGGCAGAGGAGGTGGCACAGGTATAGAATAATTGCCACTTAATGTAGTATCTCCAAGAGTAAGGCGATTTGAGTCATGTTGTTGTTGCCTTTGTACTTGTTGAATCTCCAACATGCAGCACATACATGTTCCATTCTTGAGATCTAAAAAGATAACATTAATAAAAAAAATATAATTAATATGGAAAATTCCTATTTCTTTATTTTAAAATAACAGTTTGATAGTCTCTAGTTAACTCTTGTGAGTTATAAAAGTTAAAATATGATGTCTACAAATCAATGTAGGAATTTCTGTATTCTCTCATCATCTATTACTAGTCCAGGCAACGAATGCTCAAAAACAGGTATAGAGGGAATTGCTTAGAACACAATTTTTGACTTCGTGACTTTGTTAGGACTAGTTAGGAGGTAAACATATCAAAAGTCCCCGCCCGTAGCCCTTAAGCCGGGGGGAGGGGCCGGGCTTGAAGGTCCCATTTTTAGGTTTTTCGCATATATCTCGAAAACTATGCATCCTAGCGACATGAGACTTTCACAAAAGTGAAAGCTGATTAAATTTGCTACAAGTCTTATTCAGTCAAATTTTTTGATATCTTGTATAGTTTTCGAGATATCCGCTCTTGAAAGTCTGTAATTATGGAAAAAAAATTTGTTCCCATTTTTGCTCTATTTGACCGGATAACTCTTCAACAATGCACCCAAAAAATAAATGCCGGCCGTAGGGTTGTAGAGCATTAAATTATCTTCAATAATAGAAACAATTGCCTTTTTTTTTTATTTAAGGACAAAATTGTTAGTATAGTAGACGTATGGGGGCGGTACGGTGGGCACTGGGCCGCGTACTCAGCCCCCACGCGCGGGCCGTCCTGCGCACGTCTGTGGGGTCCTCGCGATACCCCGGGAGACCCCTGCCGCGGAACCTCGGCAAGGCCGGGAGGCTGCTAGGTGCGGAGACGCGGAAGAATCCCTAAACGGGGATTCCGCGGCTTCGCACTAAGCAGCTTAGAGGGTGTTCGCAGGGTTTTTTAGCGGATATTATGCCGTAAAGCGCCCGTAAGGGTTACGGGGTCCTCAGTGGGCAGCCACTGCTGGGGCTCGTAAGGCTTGCGGGAGCCAGGTGTGAGGTCCGTTCGGCGGTGTGCCTCTTAAAGGCGCCGTCGTCTGTAAATAGTATTTTTTGCCTGCGTATAAAAAAAAAGGGTAGTAGACGTATTGACTAAAGGGGGTGTCCTGCGTTCCTGTTCCCCAGCGTGCCAAAATTGCCAGGGGAACTGCTTGAATGGGGTCCCTCAAGTTGACTCCGAAGGTGAAGAAGAACAGGAGGATCCTCTGACCGTTTCCCTACAGGGTTCCGATGGAGAAAATGACACAGACAAAGAAAATGTAAACGAAGACGAGGATCAAGGTCCTTCCCACCCCAAAAGAGCAAGAAATTAACTATATTGGATTTTTTTACAAATCTCTTTTTGCACGTCATAGTGAATTGTATCGAAAACTGCTGCCGTATTCGTACCTGTATAGCCAATGAGAACCGGAAAATAACCAGAGGCACAGGGCCCTACCGTCTCAATTTTTTTTAAAGTCCAGTTTTATAATTTTAATCATTCTTAATACTACTTTTTGTGTTGAGCTGGACCAATACAACACCAGACAATCTTATCATTTAAATAATCATCTAATTTATAATAACCTTTTTTGCATAAAGTAGTTAACTCTTGCAGTTTTTTTAAACTTATTTTCTGGATTGTGTGAAGAACCTGGTCAGTGGGCCAACAAGTACATATTCTAAAATGAGCATGTGTGCTATTTAGACATCGGTGCATCGTTAAAGAGTTATCCGAGAGTTATCCGGTCAAATAGAGCATAAATGTAAAGCATTTTTTTTTCTATAATTACAGATTTTCAAGAGCGGATATCATTATTACAGATATTATTATTAGATAATTACAGTTTCTCAATGACACTAATTTACTTTCTTTTTTACTTATGGACCTCACACCTGGCTCCCGCAAGCCTTACGAGCCCCAGCAGTGGCTGCCCACTGAGGACCCCGTAACCCTTACGGGCGCTATACGGCATAATATCCGCTAAAAAACCCTGCGAACACCCTCTAAGCTGCTTAGTGCGAAGCCGCGGAATCCCCGTTTAGGGATTCTTCCGCGTCTCCGCACCTAGCAGCCTCCCGGCCTTGCCGAGGTTCCGCGGCAGGGGTCTCCCGGGGTATCGCGAGGACCCCACAGACGTGCGCAGGACGGCCCGCGCGTGGGGGCTGAGTACGCGGCCTAGTGCCCACCGTACCGCCCCCATACGTCTACTACACTAACAATTTTGTCCTTAAATAAAAAAAAAGGCAATTGTTTCTATTATTGAAGATAATTTAATGCTCTACAACCCTACGGCCGGCATTTATTTTTTGGGTGCATTGTTGAAGAGTTATCCGGTCAAATAGAGCAAAAATGGGAACAAATTTTTTTTCCATAATTACAGACTTTCAAGAGCGGATATCTCGAAAACTATACAAGATATCAAAAAATTTGACTGAATAAAACTTGTAGCAAATTTAATCAGCTTTCACTTTTGTGAAAGTCTCATGTCGCTAGGATGCATAGTTTTCGAGATATATGCGAAAAACCTAAAAATGGGACCTTCAAGCCTCCCCCCTCCCCCCGGCTTAAGGGCTACGGGCGGGGACTTTTGATATGTTTACCTCCTAACTAGTCCTAACAAAGTCACGAAGTCAAAAATTGTGTTTTAAGCAATTCCCTCTATACCTTTTCGTTGCCTGGACTATTACCTGTCTAGTGATAACAAAACAAATAAAATAAAATCTAAATGTTACCATGACTATTACAAACATCTTAGTTCTGGATTTTTAATTAAGTATGATATGCAATAATAATACACAGTAATAATAGTTTTCTCATAAGATTGTGATAGTAAATGATTCCTAACCTAAGTATCTAGAACTGTAATTCCTTTTTTAAGAAGTCAAACAAGACAGTTAATATATATTTCATACAGTTAGTTGCACATGACATTAGACAAACAATATTAGCTCACCTGAGTAGGATTTATCTATGACTGTAATATGTTGAGGGCTAAACTGTTCTTTTACTTTAGATTTATTTTAGAAAAATCTTTTATTTTAGAAAAAAAAAAGCTATAAGTTAACGCGGACGAAGTCGCGGGCGGCCGCTAGTTATATAATACAAATTGGTATCGAGATCTATTTATTATAGTCCAGTCAATGAAAGCTTAACTTAAACGCAAAATTTTCCGTAAGGGTTTGTAGATTAGTATACTAAAATTGCAGGGTGCTGCATTGACGGCAAAGAGTGCAAAAACATTGCGAAATGGTGCAAAACGGGTTATTCGGCAATATCTCGCGACTGGCTGGGATAATAGAAAAAGTTCCTAGTACAAAGTTGTATAAAATTTTATTTCCTACAAAAAAGGTATCAACTTATTTTCGCGTATCTCCCATAGTTTTTGCACTAAATGCAAAAAAAGGTGCAAAATAATAAAAAAAAAATTGATACTCGTTCTTTTCCATTTTAAAACGATCCTACGGGTGAAATTTAACAATCATCACTTATTGAAATATTAAAGGACGAGTTTTCGGGAGTCCACTGAAATGAAAAGTGTCTACAGAAATGGTAAAAAATTGCCACCGAAATGATACAGCCAAGAACATCGCCTTTGTAATAGAAGGGTTCCCTACTTTGAATCTAATTAAATTTCCTTATTCTTAGAGTAAATATCCTGTGAGATTATTCCGCTAAAATTTTACCAGATATTTTAATTTTACTAGATGTAGTAAAAACTATCATATCTCAGTCGCTTTTTGCTTCGTCGCTTATAAATAGGGTTGTATCTATTTTTGTATGTGGTATAAAAAAAAACAAAAAAAAATGTACAAAAAAAATAAAAAAAAAGGTGAGGTTAACCCTTAACATTTAGGGGATGAAAAATAGATGTAGTCCGATTCTCAGACCTACTGTATATGCATATAAAATTTCACGAAAATCGGTCGTGCGTTTTCGGAGGAGTTTAACCACAAACACCGCGACACGAGAATTTTATATATTAGATATATTTATATTATAGTATATTTGCGTTTTATTTGAGGCAAGTAAAAGGAGATACTGGTGTCGGTTCTAGCATAATTCTCTAAACCTAAACTTTAATTTGATAGCAGTATATCCTTGTCATTCTTTATACAAAATTAAAAGGAGAGACTGATGTTAAATTTAGTTTTATGTTTAGAGAATCACGTCAGAATTTGCACCACTGAATTCAAATTTGTTTTTACTGAATAACTTTTATTCGACGTTTTATAAATTACGTCAGCTAAAATCGATTATCGAATTAACGCGGGTGAAACCGCAGGGGACCTCTCGTTGTGACATAACTGTAATAGTTAGATATATGGTATCGCGGACTTTTTTTGTAGATATTGATATCTTCTATAAAACTTTAGTACATCACTTTGCTCTATTATCAATGACTTCGAGAGAGTACGCGATATAAGGCTATTTTTGGTATATTTTACACACGTTGGGTTACATTATCGAAGTTTTCATACGCAACCCTAACTTTTTTGTAAATACACTATAGCCTATATTAACCAGTGATAATGTAGCATTCAAATGGTGGAAGAATTTTAAATTCAAATTCAAATGATTTATTGTGAAATGTAGGTTAGTACAGCAATTTGGTGTGTTTAAAATCGGTTCAGTACTTTTTGAGCCATTTCGTTACAAACATACTTACATACAAACTTTTCCTCTTTATAATATTAAGTATAGAAGTATAGATAGATATAAAAGTTAATTTCAATCCAAAAAATAAATGTAACTACAGAGGAAGTAATTTTACGAGAGGAATTAGGTTCAGGACAGGTCACCGTGATGATAAAATGCCACTTCGTATTTTTTATTTTATGGAATAGAACCCATTACTCAATAATTCTTTTTGCCCAGGTTGAGAAGTACATACTTAACTAAGAAAAAAATTCAAAATCATAAATCAGCACATGACACTGCCACTCTGAGGAATGCCGTTTATTCTTTTTTTGCTTGGGGAGTTCACCCCTACATGCTTCATTGGGATTTAATAAGTATGTTTCGGGCATATTTTTATTTATTATTTCCTTTTTTCATAGAATAATCTTGACAAAAAATAATTATTTCAATTTTATTATATGATAATGATAAAACATATTGCAAATATATGTTTTAAAAGCAAATTTTGCGCTGAACACGATAAAATAGAAAACATGATAAAATTAAATTATCATATAATATAGTTTTTTTTTTATATATCATTTTAAACCAAATACGCAGAATAGTTCACCCAGTAATGTTTATTCGTATTAATTAAACATAAGAATTACAGAATTGCCCAGCGCGCGATTCAACAATGAAAAGTGAGAAACTCTCTCGCTAGCGCGCGATCTGTGATCGGAAGAGACGGTTAAACATTTTAAACTAACGATGACTAACGCTAATCAATTACAGTGGAAGAAAAGAGTAAGCACCGATAATCGATTTTAGCTGATTTAATTTATAAAGGGTCAAATAAAACTTATTCAGTAAAAACAAATTTGAATTCAGTATCTCCTTTTACTTGCCTCAAATATAACGCAAATATACTATTAATATATTATTGTTATATTTTATTATATATATATATACATATATATATTTTACAAAAAGCGACTTAGATATGTTAGTTTTTACTACATCTAGTAAAATTCAAATAATCTGGTTTGTTTTTTTAATTTTTTTTATAGATAGGTCCGACAAATGACTCCACCCCACCTGATGTTAAGTGAAGGTGAAGTCCAGACGCGAAGATAGCTGATACAGCAGTTCTACCTGCCACACCAGCCATCCTCACCCTGCCGGCCTGCATGTTGCTTCTTCACGCTTCTTTTAAAGGATCCCAGGTTGTAAGAGGGAGGGAGCACGTGAGCGGGCAGAGCATTCCATTTACTGATAGTGTGACAAAGAAATGATGAAACAAGCACAGTTAATCGGGCGTGAAAAAACGCCGCACCTTGTTCAAGACTCCGAGTTTGCGTGAAGCTGTTTTGATCACGGTTTCGATGTAGTCCTTTGGATTCAGGTCTGAGTGAACTTCCATACCGAGCATGGAAATGTTGCTCTGCAGCGGTAGTGTTGTGCCCTGAAGAGCGGGAAGGGGAAGAAATGGCGATGTTTTTGCCGTGAAAGCGCAAGCCTGAGTTTTCTTGGCATTGAACTCAACCAAGTTCCTGGTACCCCATTCGGAAATGTGGTCCAAAGCCTGATTGAGTTCAATGACAAGATTTTCCCGTTTCTCCTTGGTTACTGCCTGCCCAGCTGCTGCTTGTCCGAGATACCCCGCATGCACTGTACTATCGTCTGCATAGCAATGAATATTCCCAAGAGGAATCAAGTCATTGATATGCAGCAGAAAGAGAATGGGGGATAGGACGGAGCCCTGGGGAACGCCGGCATTCACTGACATGAACCGTGAACTGCTACCATCCGTAAGGACACAAATTCTACGCTCATGCAGGAAGTCAGCTACCCAAGAACAGAACTGGGCTAGCAGACCATATGCCGGAAGCTTAGAGAGAATGCTTTTGTGCTAGACCCTGACGAACGCCTTGGCAATGTCAAGGCTGATAGCCAACGACTCGCTACGCTTGTCGATAGCCTCACCCCAGATATGAGTTAAGTACGCTAGAAGATCACCCGTCCGACATCGTTTCGGTCTAAATCCATATTGACGATCATTAATCAGGGAGTGATTCTCTAGGTAGCGGGACAGATGGTTATTAAGGACCTTAATTCAAACAGTCAAAGCCAATTACCGTGGGATACCTAATTTTAGCGGAATAATCTCACAGGATATTTACTCTAAGAATAAGGAAATTTAATTAGATTCAAAGTAGGGAACCCTTCTATTACAAAGGCGATGTTCTTGGCTGTATCATTTCGGTGGCAATTTTTTACCATTTCTGTAGACACTTCATTTGAGTGGACTCCCGAAAACTTGTCCTTTAATATTTCAGTAAGTTATGATTGTTAAATTTGACCCATAGGATCGTTTTAAAATGGAAAAGAACGAGTATCATTTTTTTTTTATTATTTTGCACCTTTTTTTACATTTTGTGCAAAAACTATGGGAGATACGCGAAAACATGTTGATACCTTTTTTGTAGGAAATAAAATTTTATACAACTTTGTACTAGGAACTTTTTCTATTATTCCAGCCAGTCGCGAGATATTGACGAATAACCCGTTTTTGCACCATTTCGCAATGTTTTTGCACTCTTTGCCGTCAATGCAACACCCTGCAATTTTAGTATATTAATCTACGAACCCTTACGGAAATTTTTGCGTTGGTTCCAGGTGATCAACTCAAAATGGCAAAGTTAAGCTTTCATTGACTGGACTATTACGCTACAACGTCATTGTTTAGTTTGGATAGACTAAATTACTATATGGATAGAGAGTGTGGTGTTATAAATATGCTGTCATTATTGTTTCAGCAAAGTCGGCTGCGCGTAAAGGACAAGACGAGCAAGCTCTTTCAGACAACAGGCGTCACCCAAGGCGATAACATCGACTTACGTGCGTAGTAGTCCAGAAACTAGTTTTACCATTACGTTCCAAAAGTGGTGTCATTACATTATCATGTGTGATAGATTTGAATGTTTGTTCACTTTTTTTTGTATGATGTGAATATTTTAAGTTTATTTGTTTGATTGTTTCTTCACTGTCCGCGAGACGGTGCTGTTGTTATTTTAAACTTGTAAAGTTTTATTTTCTTAGTCTAACTTCAAAATGACATAACACCATAACTAAGTAAGTGCTGTATCATTTTTAAGAAAGCTAAAGAGGAATTACAAATTTATTTTTGAATTTAGACCCAAAAAACAAGAGTTGATATGTTTAAAACAATCATTGTATTATCAAAAACGATTAATTCTGATGTTGCTGATTCTGTACCCTTGGCACGAACCAATATCGAATCCGAATAGTTTGCGTGTGCAAAATGTAAATGTCATTTTTTTATTGTAACTTCAACAGCAGCGCCATAACGGACGTAACGAGAACTAAAAATCAGTACACCTTCGACAATGACATTTCGCACTCGCAAACTATTCCAGTTCGATATTGGTTCATGTTAAGGGTACTTATGTGAGATGGAGATTCTTTATACTTGTGCAGATCAAATCCGTTTCCGTCAGATGGGTTGGAGTGGTAAAATTTTGGATGAGTGTATTGCTGATATTTCAAATAGCTGCTCTGATATTTATAAAGACAAATGTTCAGACATACATTGAATCTTTAGACTTTGAGAAAACATTAAAATTTTACTGTTCGGCATTCTCTGAAAAAGATGATGATAATAGTGGTAAAAGTAAAAATTATTAAAAAATAATTCCCCCTTAGGTCAGAGTGGAAAATTTTTCAAAGATTCGACTGTACAAGAACAATTTGCGACTCAAATTTCCTTCATAATTTATGCGGAAAATATGACCCTGTTGCATGGAGAGATTGGGTAGAATTGACTATTGTGAAAGATATATGTGATACATAGACTGGCGAAAATATAGACATTGCAATATCAGATGAAAATAGGAAGTAAAATGAGTGTTTTACACCTGTATTGTTGTAGAAAAGAAAGTGACAGCAATAATTTTAATCAAACTCCAAGACGAATGACCTATTTGAGTACTTCCAAATGAGAAGAGTGCGATACAAGGATGGTTATATTACAAGAATGTTGATGGCTGACTGAAATGTAGTTATGGTGTAATACGAAAATAAAATTCCTGTGTGAATTATGATATTATTATTGTGGTAGAAAAAGATTTGACTGATGTGATGACGGCTGATCGGAATTATGTAAATGATGGAACAAGAAAGTGATAAAATGTAAACCGCTGATCGTAAATAAAATTTTGAATAGAGCAGCAGGCGAGTGACTCGACATTAAATTACGCTTTATTTAATATAAAATACACTAGAAATGCACATAGGGCAAAGGTTATTACAAAGTCAAATATTACCTGAAAGCTGGGTAGTGCCTTATGTCCTAATTTGAATAAAACAACAAATTTATGTGTAATAAAATGAATAACAATTCCAAACAAGTGTTTGGTAATAACCGAAATACATAATAATAGCTTTCAACAGAATGAATATATTTTAAACATTGTAAATATTTTTAATATAATCGAAGGAAAACTCTATTGAGAACCAAGTGTACAGATGTCTTAAATCTCGTTTGATTCCGCCCTTCATTTGTGTTTTAATGTTTGGTTTTTCCGTCCAAACTAGGAACTCGCGATAATCATAATACATCATTTGCGTCCTTATTAGTCGTCTCCGTAGGACACATGAATATTCTTTTAAAATTCGCTAAGTAGTTGCATAAGTTGGTAGTCTTCTACGTTTAGGAGATAGTTGTACCAACCAATTAATTTATTGGCTCTAGAGTACTCTGTCGATGCAATCTAACACAATGTTTACCTTTTAAATTCCAATGGAACTACAGTTACTATATAATAATCCGCCAAGTTAACAATTCAAAATTTAAAGGAATCTGTTCAATTCAGGCTTTTACTAGCACTTAGGAAAGTCGAAAACTCTAGTCTACTACCAAGCAAGCTCATTTTCAAAATGGATGTCGAAGAAAGAACATGTCTTTAATGTCTTTATATTTAAAAAATCTAGCAGTTTTAAGCTTAAAATTAAATATATAACATGTCTTTACTATCAACAAAAAGAAAGAGAAAACATAGATTTTGGATAGGTACATCCATTGTTAAGAGAATGTACTACAAAAGGTGCATTTTGTTCGTTCTATAATGAGTTACGGGAACACGACAGAAAAATGTTAAGTTGCACACAATGTCAGTGAATAGGGGTGATGACGGGATACAGTAAACGAAATTCTATTTAGTCCGTCAGTTAGACGATCAAAAAATAATGGACTCGTATTTTTTCTTTGGCCAATCAACCAAAAAATGACAAAGTTATAGCGCGTCAAAGATGGCGAGTAGGGGCTCGTGACGTCACTTTTTAGTGAATTTTCACTTAAAAGTGTACTCAAACGTGACGTCATGCGACTTTTCAAATCAATATATTTCTGCAATGTTTATATAATGTGAAAAAAGAAAAAAAACGTGTCCAATACTTTTTGATAACCTACCTGATAAACGAAGAAAAAAAAATAGTCATCATCCCTATTCTATTGATGAGTTGTTATCAAAGTTATCACTCACGGGTACTACAACTCAAATGAGAGACTGCATATCTGGGCTGAAGAAAAACTACTGATCACATCGCGCGCTGCTGACCGCGCTGTGGGTATTACGAAGATGTTGAGTCGCGTTCGGTAACCCGAGTCGCGTGTTGTTTTGCAGTCGCGGCGACTGCCGACTCGCGGCCGCGTCATTGGAATGTGTCAGCGCGCCATGTGTTCAGTAGTTTTTCTACAGCACTGATAAGACAGACATGTTATTTCTTGGACATCCATTTTGAAAAGTGACCTTGTTTGGTAGGTGACCAGTCGCATACTCAGTTGCTACAAAATTAGCCACTAGCGGCTTCGGTCGTCCACCACTAGGCGCTTAGTAGAAATAGATCTAAAGGCGACTGATGTGTGCGGCTAATTGATGCGAAAGCCATTGTATGAAAATGTATGGCACCGTTTCCGAAGTCTGCGACGTACGCGTGCGTAAGTCGCAAACGGTAGACGGTGCGTGGCTTCGATCGGCCGCGATGCACGGAAGTCAGACTTTACGTTAAATTTAGAGCCTCTTTAAAAAAACTTAATCTCAGGGACCATAACGACATTACCAGTGTTGCCGGTTTATTGCAGTTCTTAAATAGTGATGTACTACTATCGGAAATTAACGCTCATAAAATATATAGTGTTGTTTTTTATTGAAAAGAGTTTTAGTAAGCATTATCGGAACCGAATTCCCATTTATGAGAAAGTTCGAGCCACAGTGACCGCCCGCCACCTAGTGGCATGTCTGTGCCTGTATGTCGTTTCTATGATATAAAATCAAAAAATATATACAGACTTGAAAATCCACAATTTCCATTCAAAATTGAAACATGGAATAGATATTAACTTTTAATCGGTATAAGTACATGTTTTAAACTTAACTCCGCCCGACTTCCAAATCGTACTAAATAAAACCCGCCCGTTTTCTTGTGAATCGGATATTATTTTTTACTTTTTAGTTCCATTTTCAATTATGAAGGCACTTTTAATTTTTTGTTTAAAAACATTTATCATTCATTCAATTTAGTGAAAAGCGCCTACATATAGGTACATAAAAATCCCTAAAAAGCCGTATACAAGGTATCATGAAAATTATATCGCTCAAAAATTAAAACTACTGGGCCTGAATTAAATTTTAACGGGACCAAATGGCAACTATTCTGCATTGGACAAAAAAGGAATTACGAAATCGGATCAGAGATCATATGTACACAATACACAAAAAAAAACGGCTACATTGTGCAACTTTTTAAAGTCAGTTAAAAAATGTACGTGAGAATAAATAGCTTTTGCAAAATGCTAAATGAAGAGAGTAATGAGAGACCTACAGGTACAGATATAAAATTAATTCATCTTTATATTTATTAAATTTCGTTATAAGTAAATCATGAATACATAATTATTTATACACTGGGAGATTAGAAGTTCATATTAAGATAAGCAAATTATACTAATCAGATGTGAATTATCTCAAACGTCATCAGCAGATTCGGCATCTATAACTATAGTAAAAGTTAGGTAATGTCGACAATATGAACCAGTCGACTATTTTTATTTAAAATAAAAACGGCGTATATTAATGTACAAGACATAAAAAAAAATATATATTGATAAAGTGTGCTATCATTTTTAAAATATTGGACAATATCGATAATATAAAAAAATAACCGTCAAATAAAAATAATAAACTTAAAAAACCGGTATCGTGGGTACAACACTACATAATAAAAGCTGGTATCATTATTTGCAAACTTGACATTTGCATATGTCATTTTTGTCTCCGAGATTAAAAAACAGACTATAATGGCAAAAGTGACCATCACCTAAACGTGTTAAACTACCAACTTCATCGACTGCGTGTGAGTAATATGGGTTTTTTTGAATTATCTAAAAGTAAGTACCGACTTATTGGCACGACCCCTTTATAATATCTAAATGACCAATGGTATTGTACGGCAAAATTAGCAGTTACATTCCGAACTCATAATAAAAAATAAGTGAATTTTAAGAAATTTTATATATTAAGTACGATAACACCACGTTTATAAACGTCAAATGTTAAATATATTCGGAACAGGATGAAATCCATAACAAAAGGAAGGGCAGTCCCCTTTTTTGGAAATCGTTAAAAGTTGAAAATATTTGGCACAGGATGAAATCCATGCCAAAAGGAAGGGAATTCATTAAAAAAAGAGGAATCAAATTACGGGCGATTTGAGGTCGGGAAGGGTTGAGGATTGACCTTTTAAGGTTGTTTTAAACGGTTTCTCGCAATTTAATTTTTCACAAAATTTGGTAAAACTTACCTTTTTTGTAACTTTACATTTTTGCGATTCAATAAACAATAAGGGCGTGTTAAGGACATAAGAAGGTAAGATTTCATCTCGTGAAAAAATTTTTTTAGTGGGCGATCATAATATAAATCCAAAAAGTCGGTTATTTTGTTTTTCAGATATTTTTAGATTATGAAGTAAAAATGTATTTACAAACATTGGAGATCTTTTGATTATCTATAATTTTGCCGTATATTTATTTTCGATAGTAGTTGTAGTTTTCCCGAAAATCGCGATAAACCTCGAAACTCCTTAAAAGGTCGCCGCTCACCCTTTCCGCCCACAAATTGCCGGTTATTTATATTTCCTCTTTTTTTAATGTGTTTCTCCTTCTTTTGGTATCGGTTTCATCCTGTTCCGAAGTTTTGCTCTCATTTATTATCGGCCCTGGTCTAGATAATGAATAGGATGTGATTACGAGTATCGTTGACAAACATGAAATCTGGAAAATGTTCTGCAAGAATTAGTTAATTTTGTTAATTCGAACTAAATCCATTAGACCATAATTTTAAATTCATAAAGCCGGTTATGCGTTATATATATTAACGCTGACTGACATACGGCGGCGTATGCTTTTTTATTTTTTATATTTGTTTTCAATACTAGAGATCTTCATCGTAAGGGAGTTATTAACTAATTAAGAAGTTTCATATTTCATCATAGATGTGCCTTTGAGACGTAATAATCGCTAGCAAGCTCTCTCGCCATCAGGCATCAATTCGTAGTTCGAAGACGACCAATAATTGAAATGTGTAAACCGAATAGTTGTATTAAATAAAATACTGTTGAACGAGTAATTTTAACTTTTTCAAGTTAGTGTTTCAAAATATTGATGTGAAAAAGAGAACCGATTACTCTTAGGTAACATGTCTTTCCGATATTTAAGTAAACAATTTATAAGCAATAACGTACAATGCAAAATTTAATTGAAATTAAATATTAGTCAACTCGATAGATCATTTCATAATATAAAAGCAAGCAATTTTACATGTGCCTATTACGATATGTCTGTACAAAAACCAAAATCTGAAAATGCACTCTCAATTTATTTCTGATAACGTGGTTTACGTAGTATCTCAATTTTTGCATATAAATATTTATGGTGAATTCCAAAGTCATACCTCGGCGATGAATGTAGTTAGGCCAAAGATGTTTTCCAAAAACTATAGTGAGATATTGCCAGCCTATCGACAGCAGTTTTCAAAACTGTCTTGTCTGTGGATAGGTGTTTTTATGCAAAAGATAGTTGAGATCGTTGAGGTGAGGCTCTGCCAACCTCGCAAGAAATATATACAAATTGTGTATGTTTATGTATGTAAATAAGATAATTCTAATTACAGAGTATTCGTGTCCTAGTAATGAATTAACGAGAGCGTTGGAGTTTCACTGTTCAAATAGTTAGATAAATTTTAGCAACTTTGATGATTTCTTCTCATAACTTGGATAGTAAACAGAGATCATTATATAGAAGAAGTCGTTATTTTGTTAGAATTCATTTATATGGATAAAACAACATGTGTTTGTCCCAGCACCACCATACAATTTTTTTTTGTGTTGCATATGCTCAAAACGCCCTTCTTAATAAAATCCAAATGTCTTTTAAGAACTCTTTACTACGCTATCAAGAGCGAATCATAATTCAAGATATCGTTTATAAAATATGTAGTGCCATATGTACAGTACATTTAAGTAAGAACGATAATTAGTATTGCATTAAAATCGAAGAAGATAGACAAATTTGACAGAATGTGTCATCAGAAGGCTGTTATTGTTTCTTTTTTATTTTTTTTATAGTTACTTCCGATAAATGACTCCACCCCACCTGATCTTAAGTGATGGTGAAGTCCAGCTGATAGCTTGTACAGCAGTTCTACCTGCCAGACCAGCCATACTCACCTTGCCGGCCTGCATGTTGCTTCTTCACGCCTCTTTTAAATGATCCCAGGTTGTAAGAAGGAGGGAACACGAGCAGGCAGAGCATTCAATTTACGGATAGTGCGACAAAGAAATGAGTCACCAAATTTATTTGTACGCGTTGGAATTGTGGCCACAGTTAGACGGTGACACCGAAGGCCAGCGCGCGTGGTCCTCTGAAGGAGAGGGGAAGAGATTAACAGCAATAATAAAAATCTTCTACTAAGCAGCCTTACCTACGGACATAATAAACGGGCCATGACCTACCACGCGAGCCTAGTACAGATTGCTGGGTATTAACGACCGCAGATACGAGTACATCATCAATCAAGAGTTTTAAGGTTTCAGTCCACTTACACGACTCTTTTCCCACCCGGCAAAACGAATATAATATAAATATGGGCTTTACGTATTGCTTTTTAGATAGACTTTACATTGGCAACAGAAATTTGCAGATAGCTCGCTCGCTCTGTAATTGACGCCTCGCTACCACGCGTTTGCAAGCAAGCAGTCTGAGCGATGTCCGCGCGTTGATTAGTAAGGCATTTTCGCATTACTGCCAAGTAATTTGCTGACAGATAGCTGTCGGCGCGTGTACAGCTGGTGTGTCTACTAGCTGTCACCGCGTGGACTTCCAGCAGTCGCCTTAGTTTTGGGCGATGTTGGAGCAGAGCATGTTAGTAGAATTCGACCTTTACATGCCGTCCGAAACACGAAGGAGCTAGGTATAACATTTTTATTCACCTATCTTATGACCAGCCATTTCGAAAGTTACTTCACTTTCACGTACGCAGACCGAACCGAAGTGTACCTCTGCGCCATCGAGCTCCTTAAACGTATATGTATACAAAAATACCGATTCTTTGGTAATCGTGCTTGGAAATATTTTTAATGAGGAATTCTATTTTCCTTCAGAGTTTTAAATTTCTTATCTTAATAAACAGTCTTGTACAAATAATCGGCTGTGTACATCATACAGTCCATATGTTCGGACTACTTGGGACTCTTAAATTAGATAAGTGGAGCAGTTGGTAACTAGTATTTATTATTAAAATACGGTACTTACTCGAAGAGAATAATTAATGTTAAATAATTTGTCGTGCGTGACACAATCAAAATTGTCGATAAGGTTTGTTTTCGTAAATATTTAATCTTTGCAGTTACCAATTAAAATAAATTAGGTTACGTAATAACGCACGTTCCGTTACAAAATATTATTTGTATGTTATAGCTTTTTGTAAAACTCTTTTCTATACGTATATTTGTAAGTGTAAATAACTTCTTCCATTTCCATGTATTGGTTTTTGTTTATTGGATTACGTACAGGGTTAAATATTGTCAATGTCGATGCTTGATCATGTATTTGTTTCGTCTGCGCGTGAACGTTTGTTACCAATACATAATTGCTTGTTATCCAGCTCGAAGGATCAAAGCCCGAGTTGGAATGACCTCCGTCGCTATGGCGAATACTATGGACTATATTAATAATATGGACCTCAAAAAAGGATTCATTTAAATTATCGATTTTTATTCATCTGAGTAAAATTTATTTTCCTAACAACCGGGGCTTTCATTATTCACACACACACATAGTTATTATCTAGCGCTTTTGGTAATCATAATTTCCACTCAAAAATTATTTAATTCGGAAATTGAATTGCATTCAGATGCATCGCTGTGTCGCGTTTTTAGTGGCACTGTTAATATTATCCGTAGAATATTAAATTGGTTTCCCCTTCAAAGTGTCATTCCTGTAATTTGCCTATTTGTCTTCCAAGTTTTATTATTGCGTACCAATAGTACTCAAATCCATCGAAATAGACTCGGTGAATTAGGGGAGAACTGTCACAGACAGATTTACTAGCGGTTTTATGATCCTTTTCCGGATTAAATATATATATTATAATGAAAATATATATGAACGCCTAAAACAAGTATGTGTACACATATGCCAGTTGACTGTAGGTGATTTTTTAGTAAATTCTACATATAATGTTTCCGCTAACTTTGGTTTTATAAAATTATCAGTTCTTTATGATTAATTCTTTATATTGTTATTAATTCCACTTTCATCGAGAGTTACATATTAACATATTTATAAAAAAAGACCTCATTATAGTATATACAAAATGATAATTATCAATTTTACATTATAATAATAAAGTAGGTGGAAATATTTTTATAATGAAAATGGTGTTAGTGGATTATTGTAGCGTCTAATATATAGCGCGAATCATCACGAAGGCGCGTGTTTTTGTAAAATAAACTCTATTGTGTGGTGTTAAGTGCTTCACTGTGCGACATCAAGCTTTGAACGCACTATATCTACATAAGATTGTTTCTTTAATTGGTGATGTACGAAAAAATTTGAACGGAAGGATTTTTAAACAGGTTGCAGTGGGAAAAGCCTGCCATAAAGGAGAACAACCAGTTTGTATGGGGGTTTGGTACAGATACCAATTTCTTTGTACAGGAGCAAAATATATACCATTATTATGTATAATGTATACTGCCAGTCTTTAATTGAATTCAATAGCTAGTTGGTTTAATGAGATAATTTGATTAGAATTTATTTAAAAATAAAAATATTGTCAAGTTTAAAAATGTTTTTTTCTGGTGTAATCTAAATAATAACACTAAATATCTACAAAGACATAGCAGTGAAAAATATTCAATAAGCAAGCACGCTATGATGCTACATATACCTACAATTAACATAAGGATTGATGACCAGATGGAGAGTTAAGTTGTTGATAATTTTTATTCATTCACCAGATATTATTACAAGAATATGCTGAATCACAAAAAATAAAGTTAAATGTTTTAATCACTTTATTCATTAATTTCATATTTATTATGTTTTCTCTCACAAGTATATCGTTTAAAAATGTGAGCGGAGCAATTACATTTTGATGCCGAGCCAATCACACAAATTATTTTATCGGTCATCCGAATCGTGTTAGCATTTAGTAAGCATATAACAACGTCGTCTGTGTGATGAACTGATGACAAGCCATATATACGAAATATGACACTCTTGCCTTTCTCAATATCTGCAAATTAAACAGGTGTTCGTTAATAAAACCCACCTACACTGTTTTAATGTTTAATTAATAATTTAAAACGCAATAACTTTATAGTATGGTGATATATACCATCAATTTATCAAGATGAACGTACGTAGTCAAGCCGTTGTTAGTAACAGAGTCCATATAACAAGCAGAAATCAGTGTTGTCTTTTATCGAAAATATAGTTAGCCAGGGGTAACCTAATTCTATGTGATGTCTGTCTGATGCAAAAATAAGATAGGTTTGACTAATGAGCCCGCTAAAAGTTACTGAGATCCATGAACTATTAAAATAATCATGTAAAATGCAGCTATGTACCGAGAATGAGTATTCTAGCATAATAATAGAAGGCGTGCCTTTCTACTAGATCAGCTTTTCTGCCTTGTACAGATGCTCCTCTCCTTTTCAACTCTGTTTCCAGCTGTATAGAGACCATGTTGAATACACTTTTAGCACTTATTTAATATTTTAAACAAGAAAAAAACACGTTTAAAATTTGACAGCTGCAATATTCGGCTGTGGTTTGGGTCAAGCGTTTACAGCGTCATCTATGTCGAGGTTTGCGTATACTTCTCCATTGCAATTGCCAATGTCATATTGACAGGCCTCTGACTATAGATATATACTGTCATTATAAGATGTCAGGTGACGTCACCATTTAAAAAAATGGAATAGATAGTCGATGTTATATTTTATAAATAATATAATATTTTTGTCTGAGATTTGGAGTTAAAAAACTCCAATTTAGACCTGATTTTTTTCTTACAATTTATTAACGTTGAAAACATTAGTTATTTATGCAATTTAAGCAGTACTTTTTCATAAAACATTCAACTCATAATTAGTTGAATCGATTGTTTCGAATATAATAGCAAAATGTGTTTCTTTATACGCTTAAGTTACGTCCCTTTAAACGTAAAGTTTTTATACTATTTTTTGAGTTTCACCACTAGCTAAAAAAATACTTTTTATCTTATATTACTTAGTCTTTAATGCTTCAAATCATGTCAAAAAATTTTGTTTGTACAAGATCAGTACCAAAATGATTGTTCTCCTTTATTGGCAGATTTTATTAACACTTCCAAGCAAATCATTATTTTACCACATCATCGAAGCAGCGGCTGTTTTTTTTATAATATGACTTCTTAGCTATTTAATTGAGGTTAAGATAAAGCCGAATCCAACCTGGTGAAAAATGATTACGTTTAAAGTTTTGTAGTAAACCGTTAATTGTGAATTATCTTTGCTCTTTTACTCAGTAAATGCGTACCTTATAAAGATGTTGTAAATAACGGTGTTTAGGTTTAAGATTGTTTTTATTGAAGTAAATTAAGAAGTGTAAAATAAATTTGTTCAACGGTTAAACTGCTGTATTTTTTTGTCGTTTATATCTTGATACTCCATGTTTTATCATTTATAATAATGAGGGACCTTAGATAAAGACACGGTCAAAAGGGATGATGACGGGGTAAAGCTTAGAAAAAAATAAAAAGATAAAGCGCGTCAAAGTTTGGGAGTGTGGGCTCGTGACGTCACTTCTAAGTAAAATTAAAAAACTATCAAGATGTTACGTCAAGCGGCATTTCAAATCAATATATCGCTGTACTGAATGAAGAAAAAAATGTGTCAAATACTTTTTGATAATGTACGTGATAGACGAAGAAATAAAATTAGTCATCATCTCTATTTCCCTCATATTTTGACAAAAGTAATAAACTTAAAGAGACAAGACATACTAATAGTGGGCAATCGACGGATTTTCCACTCACTATGGTATGCGAAGATGTACTCATGGACGCGTCTAACGCGCTCCGGCGACTTCCTGACCCGAAACGCCTTCAGTCGTAGATTGTCGACGGCGAACAATATAAATAATCACGATTGCGTGCATACAGGATCATCAATAAAATAATACAGTATTCTGCTGAATGGCTCGTCGTCCTACCGATTTCACCTACTGGTAGACCACTATGTACACGTGGTAATACTTTTTTTTTGTAGAAGGCTTCACGATTTTGCGTGTCATCCTTATACTGGACTATGGAGATTTATGTGGTATCGACACGATCATTAGTAGTCAGGAAAACAGTACCCCTAGCACGAACGAAGCGCAGTACGGTTTCACTAAAAACCGTTCCACAACTGGTGCTGGTGCCACTATCTTAAAATATATATTTAATGCTTGGGAAAAGACGCAGAATGCTCTTGGGGTTTTCTGCGATTTATATAAAGCCTTTGATTGCGTTAATCATCAAACTTTGTTACGGAAATTAAATCATTACGGCATAACAGATTCCGCACAAAAATTAGTGCAATCATATTTAACAGAAAGGACACAAATAGTTGATATTAACGGTGCAAAATCTGCCGGATCTCATGTGAGAATAGGCGTTCCTCAGGGTTCAATATTAGGTCCATTTCTTTTTTTAATTTACATTAATGATTTACCTTTATTTGTAGAAATTTTTTTTGAAATTGTTTTGTTTGCAGATGACACCTCGCAATTTTTAACGTTGACAGGTGTAAAACTAATTATGACGATGTAAACAATGCACTTTCCAAGGTACTTCACTGGTTCTCTTCTAATAACCTTAGACTTAATGCGAGTAAAACTAAATGTGTGAAATTTACTTTGTCGAATGTAAAGCATGCTGAAATGGGGGATATAATTCTAAATGGTGAAAAACTAATTTTAGTCGATACAACCGTTTTCTTAGGCGTAACACTAGACCAAAAACTTCAATGGAACCCTCACATTACAACACTAGCCGGTAAACTTAGTTCTGCTGCTTATGCAATCTATAAAATAAGACGGCTTACAGATGTCGACACTGCTAGGACAATATACTTCAGCTATTTTCACAGCATTATGTCGTATGGCATTCTATTGTGGGGCACGGCCGCTGACATTGAAACAGTTTTTATTCTTCAAAAACGCGCTATAAGAGCTATTTATCGCTTGGGATCTCGAACTTCTCTTCTCTTTCTGGAAGGGATAAATTTAAAGAAATGGGTATAATGACTGTTGCCTCTCGATAACTTTCACAATTGTATATTGTTTGTGCGTCAGAACATAAATTTATATACGAGGCGCGATGATGTACATAATAGGGAAGATGCAATATTTTTATTTTTGTTTTCATTTTAAAGAATTCCATGTAGAATAAACCACAGATATATTAAAAATTAAAACATTGTGATTTATCGGAAAAAATGCGGTTTTAAATTGACAATTTAAATTTTCGCGCGAAAACGAACCTATGGTTGCGATGACGTCACTCCTGTCTATCACTGGTCGTACTTGTTCGTCGCTGGCTTTAAATTTTCATACTTTTGCATATTTTTTAGAATTCCGAAATATTTTTTTGAAAAATTTAAAATCGACTATCCATCAACATCATGTGATCATAACAATACCACTAATATTCCGAAAAAAAGTCGTGTTGACTCATGTTTTGTACCAATCTACTTCAACAAAGTTTCCAAATAAATTGTTTTTGCCAGGAACTTCTGACCCAAAACGGAAAAAGTGGTTTCAAGCTGCAAAGAGAAATGACAATTATTCTCCAAAGACCATTATTGGAAGTCGGCGAATATACTTGTTATATGCTTAATTAATCTGCTTGTACGTAAAAACGCATTAGTAACCTACCTAATACTTACAAAACCTGTCTATAACATATTTTTAATTTTACAGTTGGAGAATGACGTCGATAATTAGATAAACTTTAAAATGTGTGGCACAATCTTCACATTGGCAGAACTGAACCAAGCTTTGCGTTTCATTTAAAATAACTGTAACACGATAACCCTCTTTACGTACTTTATGCTCGACCTTTTACTGTACATAATTCTCCATCTCTTTTAATTTGGATATTGCCGATTGCATTATCGCCGTAAGATTTGTAGAAGCCGCTGAATAAAATACGAAGTTTAACAACTACGATTTTTACATACCGTAGTAATTTAGTCCCTTTCATTTCTACACTTAAAAACTCTGCACTTAAAGTTATAACCATGTCAACACTAACTCTTGGTAAATTCCTGGAGTCTGCTTTGATAAACGCAACTTCCATTTTTATTAAATGTAAAAAAACGCAATTAATATTCCCATAAAATAATATTTACTTTAACAACCATACCCTCAAAGAAGTTGTCATAACAGGAGTGACGTCACTAAACGCTGATTGGTGTTTTAAAATACGTTCTGTTTCAAGTATTTTTAATTCGTAATAATTGTTAAAAAACAACATTATGTAAAATAAAAAGTTGCAGTGGTATTTCTTTTATATTTTTTTAACATTTTAATCATAAAATTTTCATAAATATTTTATATGCATGTTCCCTATTTCAATACCAGAAATAATGATAAACTCAAATTGCCACCGTTGAGACTCCAAAAGGGTCTTGGTTCATTTGTGGGTCAAGGTATATGTTACTATAATAAAATAAAGAAATAATTACTTTACCTTTCAATAAGTTTAAAGTGTGTATAAAAACATGTCTCCTTAAGAAAGATTACTATACTGTTAAAGATTTCATATATGATAATAACCTTGGGCTTAATATACCAGACTAATAGACCAGGGTCGATAATTTTTGAGACCAAAAAAAATTATAGTAGGATGAAACCCATTGGAAAAGGTAGAGAATATAACAAAAATGAAAGGAAAAATAAATTACGGGCGATCTGAGGTCGGGAAGGGGGAGGGGGTGAGTTTTTAAGGGTAAAAACCAGTTAATCTCGATTTCCGGTAAAACTGAAAGTCCTATGAAAAAAAGTTAAATGGCAAAGTTGTAGGTAATAAAAAGATGTACAACTTTTGTATCGACACTTTTTTCACATAACCTCAAAATCTATGTGAAAAATTCGAATAACCGAGTCTTTAGTTTTTTATTTTGTGCAAAAAAAAAATTCTTTCACGAAACTTAGTGAAAACTTACCTTTGTATGTCCCAAACATACAGTAATTTTTTTGATTTAAAATATTCATTTTTTCACCTTATTTTGACTTAATATCGAAAAAGCACCCTAATTTTCAATCGAAAATTCTCACGTCAAAATATCTGCTTTTTAAAAAAAGTTGATGTGTTTTTTGTTTGTTGAAATTTCTACTTTCTGATGGTATAAAAAAATATACACTACTATGGTAAATGTTCCCAGAAACTGCAAATTAATAATGAAAAAAACTCCAATCCGAAAAATTGATTTGAATCATTATGTATAATTTTGAACTATTTATTAAAATTTACACTTTAATTACTCGAAAAACATAAGATTTCATGTTATATTGATAAACAGAAAAATTACAAATCCATAAAACATGCAAAAATAGTTGTTGTAAGTAGGTATTAAAAATAGGATTTTCGGATTCGAGTTATTATCATTATTAATTTGCAGTTTCTGAGAACATTTACCATAGTAGTGTATATTGTTTTTTATACCATCAAAGAGTGGAGATTTCAACAAACAAAAAACACACCACCTTTTTTAAAAAAGCAGATATTTTGACGTGAGAATTTTCGATTGAAAATAAGGGTGCTTTTTCGATATTCAAATAGTCAAAATAAGGTGAAAAAATTAATATTTTAAATAAAAAAAAATGCTGTATGTTTGGGACATACAAAGGTAAGTGTTCACTAAATTTCGTTAAAAAATATTTTTTTTGCATAAAATAAAAATAAAAATCCAAAAACTCGGTTATTTGAATTTTTCACATAAATTTTGAGGTTATGTGAAAAAGAAGTCGATACAAAAGTTGTAGATCTTTTTATTACCTACAACTTTGCCATTTAACTTTTTTTCATAGGACTTTCAGTTTTCCCGGAAATCGAGATTAACCGGTTTTTACCCTTAAACACTCACCCCCTCCCCCTTCCCGACCTCAGATCGCCCGTAATTTATTTTTCCTTTAACTTTTGTTATATTCTCTACCTTTTCCAATGGGTTTCATCCTACTATAATTTTTTTTCACATTTTACCATTTTTAAAATTATCGACCCTGGTCTATAAGTCGTTTTACTTTGCTGATTTGGTTGAAAATTGTTTAATCGCCACTTCTAAATTTAAAAGTAGTACCTAGCTATACTTAACTTTTGTTAATTAATAATATTAATGTGATGGAAGTTGACATCAACACATGTTTTTGATTTTTGATGTCATCTTTCAATTGACGACACTGTTTGAAACAAAACAGGGAGAAAAAAAATAGCCCTTGCTGAGTTTCTTGCCGGTTCTTCTCAGTACAAGGTCTCCGCCATAGATTTACGAACCGATGGCGTAGCGTTTGACTTTCACAAGAGCTTGTAACAGCCTAGACTGAATAAATGAGTTTGAGTTTGAACCATTATCGAATTCGAATAGTTTGCAAACCGAAATGACAATGTCAAATTTTTTATGGAAACTTGAACAGCAGCGCCACTTTGGACGTAACGGGAACTAAAAATCAGTACACATTTGACAATGACATTTCAGACTCGCAAACGTTACGAATTCGATTTTGGTTCGTGCTAAGGTTACTGAGGTCAAAGCAAGCGAACTTCGACAGATCCGTAATCTTATCATCGTCAAATTTTGTATGAAAGGAGCCAGTTTGTTCTTACGTTCGCTCTGCTGCTTAGTTGTCATAGAGACTGACGAACCTCAGGGAAGAAGAAAGAAGAAAAGAAGTATTTCCAAACATGGGGGGCTATCTGGAAAAAGGTTTTTTTTGTCTGACAGCTTCAAATTTTAGTATATTCAATTAATACTTTATAACAAACATAGAACAATCCCGAACAACCTGGATAATAATAAAATTCAAAAAGCGGGGGGCTACCTTCCCTGAGGTAGATGACGATGCGATACGATCACGGAGCTGTCAAAGTTTATAATAATAATAATTTATTGTCCAAAAACAGCACAGAATCAATTTTGTATAGTTTTTGTTTAGGCCTCAGGTATGTTTAACCTAAACTAACCATAAACACAAATTCATGAATTTCTGAATTAACTTACTAAATACACAAAACATAACAACGTTGTTCTGAATGACTTGGATATTTGTTCCGCTATTTCATTGGATGCCGGCATTAAATGAAAGGCCTAGACGTCAGATTGGCTTGCTAATTTGACCAAATGGCTGCAACAATACAAGTCACTTTCTGTATAAGTTCTGAGAACTTAATCCACGTTGTTTCATCGACAGTTAAATTTGACTACTTATAGTTAAATCTTATAAAATATCATTTGTCTACATTTGACTCATTTACTACGTATTTGACGTGTCGTTAACTATAAGCAAATTTAACTATAGATGAAACAACGGAGCGTTAACGTATAGGTAATACAGATGAAAATTGGCAGGGTTTACTTTCTTCATGAATATCATTAGATTAAACAACAACATTAAGGATATAATAACTTTTTATTACTGTGTAGGATTTGTATTACAAAATTCTATTGTGTTTTTAATTCTTTATAAATATACATGATAATAACCTAAAGTTAATTGTTATTATGAAATACTGATACACAATTACAAATTTTATCATACATTTGTTTTATAGAAAACTGTGATTTGCCTCTGTTTACTAAAACTTTGTACCTGCTAAAACTAATTTATTTGTCTCGTTTAAATTACAGTGTGCCAAATAATGTTACAATGTATTGTGGCTAGTATGAAATATCAAACATCATTAGTCGGTACATTAATCTTACAATATCAAATATCGTTTCATTAAATCACTCATAAAATTGAACATTCCATCAAAATATTTGTAACAAAGAATATATTTTCTATCTTCCATTTTTACTTTGAAGAATTGCATCCTACTTCTTTTTAATTTGTGACCTCTCATAGTGATGAACGTGCTTTAAGTACGTTCCATTTCCCAATTCAATGAGCGTCAAATAATAAATTGGTTAAAATTGATTTGTTTGCTAGTTACGCAGCGTTTATGTCTGATGAATCTCATTTGAATGATACACAGAGCACCCTCCAATAATTGGGATGCTTTGTGGAATGATGTGAACAAAAACCTTTGTAATATTCTTCGTTCTTCGGGTTTAGTGGTTTAGTCAGCCGGGCAGACGCCTATTTGTGCAGCGCGCCCTGCAGCCATGAGCGGTACAGTCACCGGCGCCGTCTTGATGACGATGTTCTTCACGCAGCCAGTGAAGCCTCGCCTCGCTTGGACACCAGCTAGTTTGTTGATGGGTCGTTCGTGCCCACCGATGTATACAGGAGTGCGAGTGTCAGTCGACGGTGATACACCAATGCCGGCGGCAGAAAAATGCCCGTCCACTCCCACCGTCACCACATGACGGGACTTCACCGCTGTACGGTACAAGGAAAAGAAAGAAAATAGTTATTTGCTCACTCAGGGAAATCATCATAGAAACAGTAAATATTTCAAGAATGCTGAGAAAATATCAATGGCTAGCCACACTTGAAAGGAATTATTCCATTTGCGCTTTTTTGGTTTTACAATGATATGATTACAAAAAAATTGTGTCTCACCGTGAATACTGTGCCACTTGCCATCGCAGAGCGTGAAATTGTTGCTCAGCGTATACGTAGCCTGAAAATAAATGGTTAATCATTGCAATACATTTAATGAAAAAACAACACAATCCGGTCTGCATATCAAAGAAAAAGGTTAATAAAAACTTATTAGAAGTATTCCAAAGAAACTGAACTGAACTATGAGTTTGTATACAGTGGTGGTCACATAATTAAGACACGGGAAGATGCAAAGGAGATTGCTCAACTTCCATACATGTTTGGCCTAAAGACCAATAATCATGAAAAATTGTTTCCTAGATTCGAAATTATATATAAATTACTGTAGAAACGAATATTATTAAAGGTTGTCTGGAAGAAATCGCTTTTAGCGATAAGACCGCCCATTGAAGCACTCTTTTTTTTTTACAATTGTATTGTCCCTCATTTCTGTTCTGTGTTGTGGTGTTTTCAATAAAGTATTGTGTATTGTATTATTGACGGACACCCCTGAGAACTTCTATAAACCATATACACTGAACATATTAAAATAATAAATAAGTTATATAGTAAACTAGGGAAATCAAGCCAAGTACCGAAATTATGGATTAGATTCAGGTATATAGAGCATGTAGATTAACAGATAGTTGCCTGTTTTTAAAGTTAATGCATAAGAGTAACTTTTAAAATCAGGTGTTATTTCCGGTTATAATAAGGTACTCTGTGACAGAAACTGTGTGATGATTGTGAATGAGCCACAGATTAGAGAGAATTTTTAAACTCTCGTTAAACAAAGAAAGCTAAGAGATTTAGGTTCTATAGCCATATATTCATTAGCTTCATTATTTTTGTTATGTTTTTAAGATAACCATATTTTAGATTTTTAGTGTATCACCTTATAATTTTATTTATTTATTAATTTATAGTCCGGGAAAGTAGGCCCATAAGTAGATACCTTAAAGTCTAACATACTCGAATATACAGATTATAATGTGTTTATGGAGGTGTTTGGCGAAAAATGAATGGCAATAGACTTAATGATGTCGCCTACCATCTATAATAATTGTCTGAGCACATTTGCATCTAGTGAAAATGATAATATAGTTGTGCACAGTGTAATAAAAAAAAAATGATTTATTTTATCGATCTTTACAAAATATGTTTGTTTTTATGTTGGAAATATTTATTTATTTATTTAAACAACTTTGATCAGTCCCTGGCTGAATGTTACTACATCCATAGCCATTAAAAATGATTCGTATGTTTTCCAAACCGGTAAAATTAAAAGTCCTTTTTAAAGTAAATATATTATACAAAGGTGTCCGTTGAAATCTAATGACTGTAAATTAAATTATAAATTACGCCAAGAATTACCGTGTATGTCAATATTTTTTGTGCATTTAGGCCAATTTGAGCAATCTCCTTTATTATTAATGAAATTTTTATGATTAAAATGTTAAAAAAAATTATAAAAGAAAACCCACTGCAACGTTTTTATTTTACATAATGTTGTTTTTTAACAATAATAACGAATTAAAAATGACTTCAAAAACATGTATTTTAAAACTCCAATCAGCGTTTAGTTACGTCACTCCTGTTATGATAACTTATTTGAGGTTATGGTTGTAACAGTGAATATTATTTTATGGGAATATTAATTGCGGTTTGTAATAAAAATGGAAGTTGGGTTTATCAAAGCAGACTCCAGGAATTTACCAAGAGTTAGTGTTGACATGGTTGTAACTTGTTTTGTCCAAAGTGGAAAGCTTTCAAGTGTAGAAATGTAAGGGACTAAATTACTACGGTATGTATAAATCGTAGTTGTTAAACTTTGTATTTTATTCAGCGGCTTCTACACATAACAGTTATTTCAGCTCAACATCTTACGGCGATAACGCAATCGGCTATGTCCAAATTAAAAGAGATGGAGAATTATGTACAGTAAAAAGTCGAGTTACTACGGAGCATAAAGTACGTAAAGAAGGTTATCGTGTTACAGTTATTTTAAATGAAACGCAAAGCTTGGTTCAGTCCTGCCAATGTTGAACATTGTGCCACTCATTTTAAACTTTATCCAATTTTCGACGTCATTATCCAACTGTAAAATGAAGAATATGTTATAAACAGGTTTTGTAAGTATTAGGTAGTTTACTAATAGCCCAAGAGCTACTGAACCCTCCGAGTAACGGTCTGTCTGTAAGGCTAGAAATTCTTATGGTGATGAGCCATAGCATGCTTAGTACAGTAAGCATCGTCTGGCACTCCTCAGCTCTGCGCGTCATCAAGCCGTATAAGTTTGAAAGTGTCAAAAATATATTAATAAAAAACTTGTTGCTGTAAGCTTGAAATTTTTATACAACGTAGTTTATTCATTTTTAAGTTTAAAAAAATATTGCCAGACGTTTACGATGAGCACAAGTACCTGCCAGACGAACCGGAAGGTGTGTAATATATAGATACATAAAAATTAACTTTATTCTGTAAAGTTGAAATTTATATATGTGTTTGTTTAAGCGATTTAAAATAAGTAGGTAGAATGCCAGACGGTTCTGGCTAGCACAAATCCTTGCCAGGCGAGGAGGAGTCGTAGTATGATAACTTACATAACTTAAAACTACTCATAATTTGAAATTAATTATCTTAAATTAGTGTGCATGTTTCTGTGAAATCTCCGATTTGAAAAAATTCAACTCGATACTTAGATGAAAATAAAGAATGTAAGTTCATAAAAATATACCCGCCAATGATGCTGCTACATTGGACAAAGTCGATGTTTTGTTCTAGCAATATCTTTTCATTACAGCAAGAAAGTTTTTGTAACACTTCACATGATAACCTGTATTATCATGAACTTCCTCTGGCAAAGAAATGTCATTAAATTTTAAATTATGTTGTCTTCTAATTTTTAATATTGATTTGCTTTTGTCTAAAGTACTTGTTGTAAATTTTACAGTTTTGTCATCAATATCTTGTTTGCAAATCACACAAACAACGTTTGCAGATTCCATTTTATTCACAATTTACTTAAATATGAATACTCGTTGGTACAACTCACGTACACAAGAATAACTGCACAATTAATATTAATATTTAATTGAAATTTAAATCATTACAATACTTCACAATATAAAACAGTGAAATTCTGCGTAAGATTTTACATAGATAAGTCGTTATTACCTCCGGCGGTTTTTTTTTTAGGTATAGGACCTATTTTTCAGTAAGATAAACTGTCTCAATCGCACCACCGAGTTCACGTTGAGCCGCTTACTCACACTTCCATAGCATCTTTCCGCTCACGAGGCAAATACTTATGCTAGCCAGAACCGCCTGTCATTCTACCTACTTACTTAATCGCAAATAAAATTATAATAAAACTTTACCTAGTTAAACTAAATGCAAATAAAATGACACTACAAACAGACCGACTTAGTTTTTTATACTTTCCAACAATATGGGTATCAAATGAAAGGACTTTCCAAGAATATGAGGTTTTTAAAGTCCTCGATTATATCCAGCGATAACTAAAAAGTAAAAAATAAATTAAAAGTAAAATACTTTTTATAAACACACTTTTATTTAAATGCGTTAAAAAGAATAAACTGCTGAGAATGAGTCAAGTGACGCTGAAGAACACATTAAAGGTAATACACATTTCATAAAAATATATGAAATTCTATATATTTGAGCACAAGGTCAGAGATGTAATGTTATTTTTTAAAACTTTGTTTCTTTTTAGATGATGAAATCAGGAACTAAGAATCCTATTATGATGATGAAGAAAGTGATGATGATGAAGATTTATTAATTAATTTAAAGACTTATAATAATAAAAAATATTTTACCCATAACTTTTATTTTCACATCATTTAATTTGCATGAATAATATACCGTACGTTTTCATACTACGACTCTTACTCGCACTGCCGCAGCATCTTTCTCCTCGCCTGGCAAGGACTTGTGCTAGCCAGAACCGCCTGGCATCCTACCTACTTACTTTAAATCGCTTAAACAAACACATATTTGTTTCTTAGGTTTTCACGCACATCACTCATTAAATAAAACTAGTTTTTACGGGTTAATGCACGAAACTTTATTTATTTATTGACGTTTCGCAGCCTTTTCAGGTCTGCATCGTCAGAATAATGATTTTTTATTTAAAATTGTCGAGCTACCTTCGAAAGACTTATATTGAGCGTTCGGTTATTTCATTGGAAGATTTTTAAAATTTTATTGTCTATGTATGAATTTATTATTTAATTTACTTAATAAAGTATTTTATATAAAATTCTTGTTTGTAATTTTGAGTTTATTTATTTGACCCTAACTACCGTAAACTACCACCGGCTCCAAAATTGGGAGACCTTCCTGAGAAGAACCGGCTAAACAAACTCAAGAGAGGCAAACACATATACAAATTTCAACTTTACAGAATAAAGTTAATTTTTATGTACCTATATATTACACACCTTCCGGTTCGTCTGGCAGGTACTTGTGCTCATCGTAAACGTCTGGCAATATTTTTTTTAAACTTAAAAATGAATAAACTACATTGTATAAAAATTTCAAGCTTACAGCAACAAGTTTTTTTTAAATATTTTTTTGACACTTTCAAACTTATATGGCTTGATGACGTGCAGGGCTGAGGAGTGCCAGACGATGCTTACCGTACTAATCTCATCACCATAAGAATTTCTAGCCTTACAGACAGACCGTTACTCGGAGGGTTCAGTAGCTCTCCTACTATAACGCATTTTTACGTACAAACAGATTAATTAAGCATATAACAAGTATATTCGCCGACTTACGTCAAAGTGATCTGCACGGCATTGAATAATGGTCTTTGGAGAATAATTATCATTTCTCTTCGCAGCTTGAAACCACTTTTTTCTCAGTTTTGGGTCAATTAAATTAATTCAATCAACTTTGTTGAAGTAGATGGACACATTGGCACAAAACATGAGTCAACACGGTTTTTTTTCGGAATATTAGTGGTATTGTTATGATCACCTGATGTTGATGGATAGTCCATTTTAAATTTTTACAAAAAAATATCTCGGATGTCGGAACAATATGCAAAAGTATGAAAGTCAGCGACGAACAAGTACGACCAGTGACAGACAGGAGTGACGTCATCGGAACCATAGGTCCGTTTTCGCGCGAAAATTTAAAACCGCATTTTTTCCGATAAATTACAATGTTTTAATTTTTTAATATAATTGTGGTTTATTCTACATGGAATTCTTTAAAATGAAAATAAAAATAAAAATATTGCATCTTCCCTATTGATCACAAAAAACTTATGGTACTAAAATTAGCTGAAATTGGTATTCAATCTAGTGTAATTGTTATTAAACCATACACGACGTTGTATTCTTACAATGTGGGACAAAAATAGTAGTGTTCATTATTAGTTTAGACACTGCTCACTATGGGAACGTAACACAAACTTTTTCAATGTACTTGTAGCTGGCCCGATAATTAAAGACACTCTATTTGCTTGGAAGAAATAGAAAAAATGTTTTATTAAATAATATTTAAAAAAGTCGTATTGCTTCACCTCCATCGAGATGAAGATCTGCCCACGCTGAACTATAACCGTGTATAAATGTCATACCTGGAAGGCCCCCCTGCCGTTGTCGACGCGCGCGACCACCTTGTGCTCTAGTAGCTCCAGCACCAGGTAGTCGTGCCGTCCGTGCACCGCCAGCAGCAGCCCAGTCGTATTGCGCGGCTTCACCTCCATCGAAATGGAGATCTCCTCGCCCACGCTGAACTCGCCCGCTTTGTACAGCTGGAGGAAACCGAGAAAGTAAGTGAGGCCAATTGCACGCACATTTGAACACGAACTAGTTACACTTTACGTATCATCATCACCAGGCTGTTAATTTTTCACTGCAGGACACAAACCTATGTTATGGATGCAATTGTTGGTGCTCGTTGGTAGGTTCGTGCGTCCAAGGTACGAAAGTTGCTTAACTTCCACAATCGTAGACTGACTCGCTAGCTATTGCGCTCTCATGGGCTAATTTCAGGGTTCTTTGAGCAACGCTATCGCAAATGTTATTTTTCGCAAGCTCATCTTTCAGGGCTCTTTGCGCAATACTTTCATTTCAGTAGAATGATATTTTTCTGATTATTGTTAACACATTTGATATTTGGCGCCTTTTGATACCCGATTGCAGATTCCATCTAAGTCAAAACAGAATTTGTCACCTAGTAAATTTCTCCATGCTGATAGTGAAAAAGTGCATGGTATAATCTATATTCCATTACAAAGACAGTGAAAGCTTGAGATTTTATTTTTCAGCAGACTGTAACGCCTTCTCTCGGTTCTCACCTTGATGTAGTTGCTATACGCCAAGTTGGGCGACGGCGGGAAGTACACGCCGTCCTCCACGTTGTCGACGCAGCGCAGCGAGTTGACGCGCGTCTTCACGTCCGTCACCAGCTGGCCGTTCATCATCAGGCCGCGCAGGCAGCCCTTGAACGGCTGGTAGAACTGTCAAAAAATAATGTACATAAGCACGGTTCAAATAATTATGCAAGTGTTTTTATCACAGACATAGATACTAGACTGAGCGTGCCCTGTTCTACTGTATAACATGATGGATAAGATTAAGAGAAATGAAGCTATCGATCGTGCAGTCATATAGGTATTGGCTGCATTAACGTTTTTTCTTTTTCTAGAGAGTTTTAAATTTCAAGCGAGTTTTATTCAGGCCCTTGATTTGATGTCTTTGCCTGCGATCATAAACATAGAGAATCAACTGAACGACACTCGAATGTTATGACGACTCTCTAAAAAAAGAGCAAACCAGCTGTCTCTACCTGCCCAGTTTTACTTTATTCCATTCTCTATTTGTCTAATCTGCGACTGCGATCAACAGCAAACGAGCTTCCAAACTCATAATAGTTAGTGGCTCCCAGACACGTTCGGCGGTCGGAAATAACAAAATGAAATAGCGTTTTCCAAAGCAATCCCGTTAGGTGAATGCCCCCCCCGTTTGAGGCGAAGGCGATGCTCGCTCACGCCACGCGCTCGCCGTGCCTCTCGCCGCAGTGGCCTATACAAACTTCACAGTCAGTGACTCACGGGCAGGTTATCGTTGTCGCTGGACACGTTGGCGCGCAGCCCGCCGTAGTACAGCGGCGGGGTGAGCAGCGCTGGCCCGGACGCGGCGCAGGCAACGCTCGACTCCGCCACTGGCTCGCCGTCCACCGTCACCTTGCCGTGTCCCTCACGCCTCACTAGCGTTACCGAGTGCCACGCCGCGTCATTATAGCTCTGCTGCAAGTTAACGTGCGCGGTCGACCCGCCGCAGTTGAACAGGAAGTGCAGCTGTGTGAAAAGAAATTGGTTGAGTATATTGATGTATGCGTCACCAAGGGTTAAATCAATCAATTAATTAATCGTTTCCGATGTGTTCTTAATAGTCTTCCCAGCTTAGTCAAGTGACTTTTAGTCAGTAACAGTCTGAACCCTGTAGCTAGATGTGTGGGGTATGCATTGAGCATTTTCCACCTGCTTGCCCCACTTAATTCACAGCTCCATGGGAAAGTAGCCCTGAGTATTAGACATGAATTTCAGTTTGATACCTCCACGCGTTCCTGAGAAAAACGGTCTTGACGGACGGACAACAAAGTGATCCTATAAGGGTTCCGTTTTTCCTTTTGAGGTACGGAACCCTTAAAATAGTAAACTTACTCATTTTTATTAATATTTTTTCCTTAACGTAACTTAACTGGAAATGCCCAATCGCCTTTTTAGCAAACTTCTAAAAGGAGGATGTTCTCAATTCATGGGTACCTTTGTTTTTAACAATTTTAAGCTAAATATTACTGAAGAAAAGTTTACTAGAAAAAAATCCACGCGGACCAGGCAGCGGACGGGACTCGAACCCGCATCCTTCGCTATCCGGGCGAATGCACTGACCATTATGCTACCACGGCCCTATTAGCCGCGTCGAAATTTTCCTAGCCTTAAGCTGCAAGGCAGTGCCATCTCTTCGCATTGTAGGCAACCCACAATGTCAAATGAATACTTTTTCAAGTATTAAACATTTGAAAGAAGAAATAGCAAATAAAATTATGATTTTATTTATTTTTTAAGCATTTAACTGCTAGATGTTTAAATCTAAAGAAAAGTTTACTAGAAAAAAATCCACGCGGACCAGGCAGCGGACGGGACTCGAACCCGCATCCTTCGCTATCCGGGCGAATGCACTGACCATTATGCTACCACGGCCCTATTAGCCGCGTCGAAATTTTCCTAGCCTTAAGCTGCAAGGCAGCGCCATCTCTTCGCATTGTAGACAACCCACAATGTCAAATGAATACTTTTTCAAGTATTAAACATTTGAAAGAAGAAATAGCAATTATAGTTATGATTTTATTTATTTTTTAAGCATTTAACTGCTAGATGTTTAAATCTAAAGAAAAGTTTACTAGAAAATAGGGCCGTGGTAGCATAATGGTCAGTGCATTCGCCCGGATAGCGAAGGATGCGGGTTCGAGTCCCGTTCGCTGCCTGGTCCGCGTGGATTTTTTTCTAGTAAACTTTTCTTTAGATTTAAACATCTAGCAGTTAAATGCTTAAAAAATAAATAAAATCATAAATATTACTGGTAATGAAAATTTGTTTGAACTGTCACATACTATAAACGTAATGCCAATTTAGCATTTTAGACGACAGACGAGTATTTCCTGTGTTACTACATTTACCATAGCGTCCTTCATATACAACGCGATGAATTGCGTGGGCTCCTTCTCAGCAGCAGCGTACAGCATCAGCCCGCCGTGGCGGTCGAACGTGCGGAAAGACAGTGACAGGTCGAACCCGCCCACCTGCCGGCCCGGCAGCTTGCCGAACTCGATGCGGCTATCCTCGCGCGTGCCTGGAAACAAAGCTTCTTTGATAACAAGTTCGAAGAGTTAGCTCACTCTTCTCGTTATAGTAGCCTTTGCACACGTACCATTTCGTCACAATTTTAGTAATTAGGTCCGTTATTTTATAAAACGTGCCTTTCTGTGCATTTTGAAAGTGTTCCAAAGAAAACAAAATTCTAAACATTGGAGAAACCCATTAGGCAAGCAAGACATATTGCCCGCAGAACAATGACCATTGGGAAAAAGCATCTCGAATTGGAAGACGTAGTATGGGTAGGCCTCTATGTATGTATGCTTACCGAATCGGTAGCCTTCTTCTGGATTGCCGACTGTGTAGTCTGGGTCGTAGGCGAGTGCGCAACCGGGCACCGGCTTCGGCGGCGGGCGACGCGTCGTTGTTGACGGCGGTTGCATTGTGGTTTGCGGTTGTGGTCGAGGTTGTGGCTGAGGTTGCGGCTGAGGCTGTGGTAGCGGCTTGACCTCCGTCTGTGGTGGCTGTGTCACAACTTCGTGGAACGGGTTGACTGTTGGAAATTTGTGAAAATATAGCTGAATGTGCTTTGTCTTGATGTTTCTATTTGAGGAAGTGCACAAAAAGGGATGATCTCCTTTAGAATTTTTTGGTTTAATTTGGACTTTAAGACCCGACTTATCAAATTCACAGTTTTTAGTAACACCAGTTGTTGCAAATAAAAAGTTCAGAGTCCAACCAACGTGCGCATTTGGATTTCTTTTGCCTTAAAAATTAATACAATTACCTTCAATAATTAAACTTACTATAGTTGAGGTCGGTTTCAGGTTCCGGTGTTGCAGGCGCCGGTTGTGGTGGCAGCGGCAGCAAATTGGATTGCGTTGGCTGCGGCAGCCAGGAAGCTACGTCTGATGACAAATTAAGTTGATACACATTATATTTCATCGACAACGTCATCTTTTGTTAAATCTTACGCATCGAACATCGTAAATCAACGAACACGCAGCAAAATCGAACGTGAAGCCGTTAGTGCTGTACGGCTTCAGTAGATTGAGTGGACCTTCCTACCCACCACGTAGCCACTCTGTATAAGGTTGCAAAAGGAATATAATATATGGCACGTCTTCGGAGTTAGTCAGTTCGACGTAGCATCCGAATGTGACGCCGTCAGCGCTGTACAGCTTCAGTAGGTTGAGTGGTTTTTTTCTACCACATAATACATAAAATGGTTAGAAGGGCCTTGTAGGTGGGTTGGGGGCGCAATACTTACGTGTGATTGCATCGTTGCCCTCGGGTGTAAGCGCTGATTGTTTGATGTCTCGTCCTTTGAGTGGCAATTATCCATTAGGTGGAAGTGTAGTGGGGACGAGCCGGCGACATCGATTTCCTTACAAACGGTTAATGATCACCCTTCTAACCTCTTTCTGTGTTTTCTACTCACCTTGCCTTCCATCACGTAGATTCTCTGTATAAGGTTGCAGTAGGAATATAATATTACCTGGCGGCACGCCCCCGGAGCTTGTCAGATCGCCGCAGCGTCCGAACGTGACTCCGTTAGCGCTGTACGGCTCTAGCAGGTTTAGTGGTCGCGAGTTGAGCGCGACGTCCGCAACGCAGCCGCGCAGAGGCACTTTGCTTCCTACTTTGCCCCCCACCACGTAGCCACTCTGCACGCCGCCGACGAACAACACGCCTTCTAGTATTTGAAGCGGCGCTGGCGCCGTGTCCGACCTGCCAGTCGAAACTCACTTAGAACCTCCCTTACGGTCGCACGTCAAATAATTTTCATGACATTTAAAGTCACGTGTTTCTACTCTTTAATTATATCAAATAATGAGACAGCAATAACTTTTATTAAAATTAAAAGTAATTGACGTCCCTGATTATGGCCGTTAGTTAAGACATCTTCCTATTGTCCGATGACGAGACGGTAACACCAATTTGGACGTCTATTTGAGTTCTAAAGGTTTGGGTCGGGTTCATGCAAGGATGAGTTGGAAAATCTTATTATGATCGCTTATAAACAGTGAATAAGGACAATTTAGCTGTTTATGAATTTGATGAAGTTGTATAGCTGGGCTGTAGGGCTGGGGCTAAACCTAAACCAAACGTGGCGACGTTAATACTGTCATCATGGTTAATTAACTCTTGGCTGGTATTGGATAATACCATGAAACTATACTGCATCTCTATTTATTACACTTACCCGAAGTAGTCGAAGTCGTCGACTACTAGCCGCAGCGCGCGGCTATTGTGTGTAATTGTGACGACGTGCCACTGCGAGTCGTTGTACGTGCTGAGACCCGTGTCCAACTGCTCGCGCTGACTCATCAGCACCAGGCGACCTGACACGAATGTTGAATAATGTTATGTTAAGCTAGCCAGCTTGCTGGCTTGTAGCTTGTAAACTCGCCCCGTGTCATCGAGGCTAGCGAACTGCTAGGGAATACGCTAGCATGCAGCATGTAAACTCGCCCCTTGTCATCGAGGTTTTAAGGAACAAATTCATAGAAAGGACGGCGCATTGAAATATACTTAAAATTATCATCATCAGCCTATTGATACTCTGGGTATAGACCTTAGGCCTTCTCTGATCCTCAAAACATGCCTAATACAGATTGGTAGATGCTAACGACTGCAGATGCAGCCAGGACCAACGGTTTAACATGCTTTCCAAAGCAAAGAGTAGCTCGGGAAAATAAAATTTTGGTCGCCCATCCTAAAACCGGCCATTGCGAAAGTTCCTTAACTTCCAAAATTGTAGGCTGACGTGCTATCCACTTCTGCAATCGAGCTCATCCTGACTAAGAATTATATCATGAACCAATTTTTGCTCCAAGATTATATTAGCATTAGCTATAGCTTATGCTACTGAATCTCTGCTGATCGCCCCGTTAAAAAATCCGACGGGGTAGATGATAATAATTGATCTGTGCCATCCACCCTGTTAAACGACGGGGTCGGGGCTACCGGGGTCATTGAAACATTTTTTCCTAAATGTCCCGTTGACGTTGGCGGGACATCCAGGGTAGATGGTACCAACTCTGCGTTAGGCTGGTCTATGAAATGATATAAAACTGCACGCGGCGCGGACGTCCGCTCCGTGCTCCCGCTTAACGCAGCGCAGGCTCGAAAGCTTTAAAGTGAGCATAGCGGTGTTTGAAGTTCTCTCTTGGAAAGTATTTTACAAGTTTATCAGCGGTCCACGGGTAGGAATAATAAAGCTAGTTGTTACGTAGGGCTAGCGCGCTGCTTCAATAGTTGTACGCATTTGATTTTTTGTAGGGTCGTGTTAAAATGTGTCTTTCACTCACCCTTGATTAGTGACAGAGACACGCTGTCCGGCATATCAGGGGTCTGCATTCTGCTCACATATAGAAACAGCAAGCCAGCCGGCGACGAAGTTTTGAACTTCAGTGTCAGCTGTAGGTTATCCGTTGTGATGTCCATGAACCGCAGGTAGCTATCGCTGCCCGATAACGACACCAACGACGCGAACTGTAAGAATTCTCTGAAGTAAATAAAAATAGCAACAAACCAAAGAACAAGTAAAAACCGTCGAAGTGCGAATCAGTATGGACTATTCCCGCTCAAGAGGTAGAGCTCCGTGGCAGACATACAGGCGGCGGAGGCATACTTATAGGGTTTCGTTTCATCCCCCTATGGGTATGGAATCTTAAAAATGATTTTATTTTTATTTTTTAAGTATTTAACTGCAAAAATTTTATATACAAATTTATTATTTATTTTTATTTTATTTTTTTTATTTTGCAAATGGGTCCCGTCCGCTGACTGGAGCGCGTGATTTTTTTTCAAATAAAATTTCTTTAGTCCTGAATATGATGATTTTGTTCGGCTGCTTACTTAGATTATCCAAAGGTGTCCTAAATTTAATCAATACAGTATTTTTTTGATTTTGAAACAAAGCAACCCAGGTGAAATAAGATTTTGTTTTTAAATTAAAGTTTTTTCAAATATATCTCTACTGAGGATATATCTGTACATTATGGATTTTGTCTGAATAACTTTTTCCATTTAGGTTCTTTATGCAGTTATGCAGCTGTGACTCTTCCTTTCTCTCTTCTCTTTTATAATTTACATACCTGACACCCGTATCCCAATCCAATCGCTTCTATGTTCTCGCTTAGGTCTATGTTGATCCCGTCCATACTAATCTGGCGCAAGCACCCATCGAAGCCTATGTTCTTGACTTGCAGGATGCCCTTGTTGTTGCCTCCAAAGTTCATCGTGTCCACCGAGGTGATCTCCATGATGGGCGAAGCGGAGACAGCTCGGTGAATCTCGTCATCCACCTTTGGGGAGGAACAGGTAAGTTTTTCACTGTCATAAGTTAACTAACACTGTAAAATTTAACACAGCATAGAATTGTATCTTGAATAAAGCAATTTGGTTTAGGCACTTTTTAATGTATAAAGTGCATGATACATTGGGTTAAAGACCAACACCGCCGACGCGCATTGGGTGCGTAAATGAAAGTTCAAGCAACAGTAAAAGCTGCAGTGCTATAGCAATAGCAGTGCTGCTCTTTTTTGCATTCCTTTAAGATGACTGGCTGTCCCAGCGAACTTCGTACCGCCGTAAAAAATAGGGGTTGGGGTAGAAGGGTGAAAATTTTGGGTTGTATGTATTTTTGTATGATGTACCTATCATAAAAAAATAAAAACAAAAAAAATGTCCAAAAAAAAATTTATACCCTTAACATTTAGAGGGATGAAAAATAGATGTTGTCCGATTCTCAGACCTACTGAATATGCATATAAAATTTGACGAAAATCGGTCGAGCCGTTTCGGAGTAGTTCAATAACGCACACCGTGACACGAGAATTTTATATATTAGAAGATGATTTAATACCAACTTTGAGTGAACAATTGGCGAGGTAGCGACCGGCGTCCAGTTTATGCCACTTGCCGTCGTTGTAGTTCTTCTGTGTTCCTATGATAACCATTTCATCAAGATTTCCGAGCGACACCTGTGGGATGTTTTAAGTACCTTGTTACATTTGTCATAAAATATGAACATTTGTATGAGTTTAAAAGTCTGGGTAAATTACTGGGCTATGTCAAATCTACGAGAAGTTGGATGTGAAGATCGTTGACACTGTCTCTGCATTAACGGAATCTTAAAATAAATTATAATACCCAAACATCGAAAAACAACATAATTTTAAGTTCATAATAACTGCAATTTTCAAGGATTTAACTGTAATTTAAGATTTTTATTAGTCAAGACGGACTGTCTACCAGATACTGCACAAAAACGGACATGTGCTGTTCATATGCGATAGAAATTAAACCTACAAAAAATTTAACGCCTTTCATGACTAGGTAGGTACTGTAAAATACTGGGCAAAATTAAATATTCTATACTTAAATTGTTTCGAAAAATAAATAATCACACTAATATTATAAAGGAGAAAGGAGTGTGTATGTTTGTTACTTCTTCACGTCTTAACGGCTTGAGCGATTTTAGTAAAATTTGGTATGGAGTTAGCTGATACCCTGGATTAAAACATAGGCTACGTGTTACTGCGGTAAAATATCCCTAACAAACCGTGGGTAACACCGCGAGGCACAGCTAGTAGCTTAATAAGAAAATAAAACATTAAAAATAAATAATAGCTCAATAAAAGAAAAAAAAAAATACAATAAAAAATAACCGAGCTCAGGACCGAACCACCGATCATTTGGTGTCGACCACAAGACCGTTACCGTTCGGCTATCTGACTCTTGCAAAGAGTTACAAAATTACGGATACCTTGTATCAAATACTGTCGCTTTATCATTTCATCGAGTTTCAAATCACAACGGTGCTAAAGAAGTTTTCACTTTAAAAAGGAGGAACATTATAAACATACCTGTAAGAAGACTTTTCCGTCTTGCATGACTACAGAGAAGAAGTGAGATCCCTCCCCTACCAGGTAAATGAGCCCGTCGGGGGCGTACGTGCGGAAGTACAGTAGTACATGGTTCTTCTGGGGAACGAGATATTCGCGCGCCGGCATCGTCACGTGAGAGCGCCCGTTGAAACGGTACTCTTGTGGCCCGGTTTGCGATGTGATCAGCTTATCTCTGAAGAATATGTGATGATAATTATTGTGGTTGTGCTGTTTTGTATAAAGAATTTATTATAAAACGGCTCACGTCCCAAATATTCATACTTTTCAGTTTACAGAAATGTGTTAGTAGAGCACTTTCACACAAACGCTTACTAAAGATAAGGTTGCTAGATGGCGATATGGGAAACGGGGCGTTTTTTGGTTGTAGTAACGACAGAAGCTATCAAGTACGAAGCTAATGATATGCCGCTTCCAAAAAAAGATAATAGTGTAAAATGACATATCTTATCTTTAATCAGGTAAAATTTTGCATACCTTTGTCTAGCACCCTTGAGGTTCTCCGAGCTGATGAAGTTCCATAGTCCAACGGGCGAGTCGCCAATTATGAGCTCCTCGATCTGTCCTTCGAAGGCGGGGTAGCTGATGCCTTGCAGCTTGGCATCCGCGGGTGCTCCGCCTACATAAAGCTTGCTCTTCTGACGGTCCAGGTTGAAGATAGTATGCTGTCCAGGTAGCACCGCCTCCTTGGAATGAGTGTGCTCTGAACCGTTGTCGAGACTCTCGCGTATGGAGAATTGTACGTTGCGTCCGATCCTGTTGAACGATTACGATTGTGAATTATGATATCAAGAGCTCTTCATAATTTGTAGGATGCTTTCTATACAATACTTTGGTTATATAGTGTTTATAAATCTCACCCTTTCTTTCTTTATAGTATAGCTCACTTCAGGTACTCAACCCTACATTATTGATAAATATTTATTTTACATGGACCGGCCTTTTTATTAAAACGTTCTTGACAAAATATATAGTTGCAACAGCTGGAACCTAAAATATACTCGAATTTTCATTTGGTTTTTAGGACTGACCTATCGCATAAATTTTGTACGCACCTATCTACAACGACCTGGTACCAGCGGTTGTCAGACACAAACTTGTCGCTGCCGATGCGCACCGCCTCGCGACCAGAGTCGTGGCTGTCTCCGATGTCCATCGTCAAGTAAGGATATCCGTTCTGGATGCCCACTACCATGAAGTCGTCCTGTAAGAAATCGTACTTTGTATAATAGTCAAACAATGTTTCCAAGGTGTTACTCTATGTTTTGAAGTTCCATTCGTTATTTTTTGTAGATAGGGCGATTTTTGTATTTCTTTAGATGTTTTTACTAAGAGGGATTGGCCCTGCTGAAACGCTAAGAAAGATTTTCTGCAAAGGTTTTAGTTTTTTTAAACATACTGCATTTTGTACTTTGTGCTGAGTCGGAGTTGTAGGTATATTGAAAAACATAATTATTTTTATGCAAACAGTTAAAATAAATCTTCATCCTACAAATAGCTAAGGAAGTATACTCGAAACTTCTATGAAAAGCGTCTATTGTAACAGAATACTACGGAAAAGTAACGTCTAACGTCGGAGCTCAAATCGGAAGGTCTCACCGATTTAGTGCGCCTGATGTTGCTGCCCTCAGGGTTGCCGAGGTAGAGGAGTAGCCCGTCCTTCTCCCTAGTACGGAAGTATGCAGACACGTGCGTGGAGGTAGACATCTCGTCGATAGAGTCTGGAAGCCGTGGTTGCAGCGTCGACCGCCGGTCAAACGTCACGCCCACTTGGATGCGATTGGCTAAGGCACGCGCCTGGGAATTATAATAATTATTATAGACTAGACTACGTAGGTGAAGGAAAAGGTCATAGACTCGTCCTTATTTCTTGGCTGCGAAGATAATGATACTGTACATCTTGTCCTACTCAATTCAGGATGTCATCAGTTATGGCCTATCTCTCTTATAATAACTACTGACTTTATCATTATGGTACTAGAACTGTTAATGAAATACCCACCTGTTCAATAAGCTCCTTGAGCTTCTGTAGTTTATCGTCAGCTTCGGCGCGGCGGTGTTCTAAGTCGTCCTGCATGATCTTCACAGAGCGATACTTGGAATTGCTCAGCGGGTCAATTTCTTTCACATTGTTTACTAAACAGAAAGGTCATATTTAAAGTCTCTAGAATATACCTATTTACATACGCTGCAGTTTCATTTTAACAGAGATGTCATAGATACACTAAAAAAAGATACATTTAAAAAAACAATTTTTGATTTTGATTTTTTAAATTTATCTTTTTTATTTCACATTTTTTAGTTAGATAGTATTTTAAGATGGTATATACCGTAGTCTTGTTACTTCAGTATGAGAATCAATATCGCGAGAATTATTAAGTACCTTGCGGTGGTCTAAAAGATTGATTTATTAAGACTTTACCAGCGGGGTCAAGGCTACAGATGGGCCTCAATTTTCGCAAAAATGTGTGAAGTTAATTCAAGTCGTTACATAAATATCTAATGTATGTAAATTTTATAGTAAACTAGTACTTATTCAAAAAGTCATCTTTTGTTTATGTTCTTTTTAGTAGTTTAGCAGTAAATATAAAATTCATTTACTTTTATTCGTCGACTATTTAAAATTGGCAGTGGCTGCATTGTCATGTCAATACCGGACGACTAAGATTGTGATATACACAAATGCAGTGTCAGTCCCTAGTGTCATAATTTGATATACCTACATAATTCACAGAAACCCAATATGTAGATGCCAAGTTAATTTCAAATGTTGTTAATCACCCTATATACAATACCAATCAATGACGTTTATGTCGCAGGTTGAAGAAAGCAGTAATTCCCGTCTGTTGTTTTAGACAATGGTGGCAACTGCCTTAGTTAACCAAATTAAATAATTATGCAATCACCAAAGCAAAGTTTATAATATTTGATTAAACTAAAGGCGCATAATAAAATTTTCATAACATTAGGTAGAGCACCATAGCAATCTCATTTATTTTCAATTTATAGTTCTCTTTGTAGATTTCTTTTAAAGCGTTCACAGGTCAAAGACTTTGTGATCGACTCTTTTTTATTGGTAGTGTAAAGCTCGAATGAAAAGAGTACTTCCACCTATCAAGCGTGCTGCTACCAGCCTAGTAGGTATTGCAAATAGTGCAATCATAGCAATTATTTACCAAATATTTTTTTTTGTATAATAAAATACACCTATTACTTAATTTATTTTTAAATCTTTTTCATCAATTAAATACTATTATCCTAACTATCTATACTAATATTATAAAGAGGCAAGATTTGTATGTTTGTAACAAATAATCTGTCAAACTACTGAGCCGGTTTCAAATAATAATTCATCGTAATGTAGCTACATTTTTTTTTATTTAAATACATTTTGTGCCAGTCACATAGGCTATATTTTATCCCGATACAATAAATTTCGCCCGTCCAATACCCGGGTGGATCACGAGTAAGTATAATATAATAATATAGATGCGAAAGTGAGTTTGTTTGTTGCGCTTCCGTACCCTTTTTATTTTTGACGATGGAAAATGCATTTACGCACCGTACCGCGCGCTAGCTGGGCGCGCGGCGTGTGTGCGACTCCCCGGCGCAGAACAACGCCGGTCCTACCCACTAAAAACCACCGGTACCCTCCTACGCCCACTACAATCAATAAGGTCCATTCTTTCCTTCCTTAATGCTATATTTTTATGAAAACAATTATTTCTTTTAATTAACTTTCCTGTTCTTTTTATAAATTTACTAATGCGAATATACTTTTTTAGTTTTTTCTTGCCAGTTACACAGTTTTGTACAGCAGTGTTCTCATAAACAATAGGCTGTTGATATTGTGTCAAGGGCGCTCCGGGAGATGCCATTAATTCCTCAAAAAGGCTCTGTGTATGTGCTGTTTCCTGGAGTTGTTGAATTTCTTTATAATGTGCTAGTTGGTTATTTGCATCAATAAGTTCTTTTTCTAGGTCTGTGATACGTTGAAGAGCCCTCTCATATGTGTTGAACTGCTGGTCAAAGCTGTTGACAGTGTCGTTAAGATGGTCTCGTTGAAGAATCACTTCCATGTGTTCCGAGTGAAGTTGGGATAGTTCGCTCTTGAGCTGGGTGTTCCTTTGAATATTTTTCTCAATTTCCTCTTCACCCTCATCACGTTCACGAAGTAGCTGGCGACAAGTTTCCTTTGTTACCTTGAGTTCTTCCAGGGCTTGTTTCAATTTAAGCTCTGTACTTTGAACTGCAGCTTTGCGGGTCATCATTGTTATTTGTGTATAAAAATTCAATAAGCTGAACTTAATAAAAGAATATAAGTTTCTTTTTATAGTAATATTTAAAGCAAATAGAGTAATTAATGAGTTTAAATGATTATGAAAACAAAAATAGATAGAGATATTAAAAAGAGGGTAGAAAATAATACATAAAATATGTATTAAATTTTACTTTTACTACTTTAAAAATGATTAATTCAAATTGATCAACTTAATATCATATAATATTTTTAAGACCAATATCAAGTTTTAATACTTTTACACCTAATAACTATGTAGGATTTAATTTCCCAAATCTTAAATAGTAACTTAACTTAGCAGCAAAGTATAATAAAAAGTAAGTATGATTTGTTCAAACTTTGCTGTTGTAATACGTTGTCATAATAAATATTGAGAACAATACTGTATCAGAAGTGTCAAAAGATATTAATAACAGCAAGTACTATGATATAAGAACAAATTACACAGCAATAGGGTTCAGACAGTTATTTTCAAATGTACTGTTGTTAGTGTATAGCTTGTGAAGAGTAAGAGTATGGTGTATGACTGGAGCAAAAAGTCACCATCAAATTTTGCTTCCACTATTATGTCAAGCAAAGAGAGGTTTACTGTGCTATTCGTTTTGAATTGTGACGTTACTCACTGATTAAGTGAGTTATGTGCAGTAATTTGTTGAGGTTTTCCGAATTGAAAAACTAAATTATACACTTTCATTAATCGACAATGATACTCTTTCTTATAGAAAATACTGATAAAATAAGATGTACTCCCCCGGTTTATGATGCAGCATGTCACACTATTGTCCTTTTTCGTAATTATTCTTGAATTTTACAACTTTTTCTTCTTGATTTTGACAAGTAGGTAGTCGTTACAATATTTGTGTTGCAGTATTTTAAATGTTTACTGTCCAATTCTTGAGAAAACAATTCCACACAATATTTACTATATAAACTACACTGTGAATCTATTTTTAAATAGAAATAAAACGAAAAACCTAATTATTTATAATTTTAAAACCAGCTGATACAAATTGACAAGTTCACCGGGTGCGTTCCGAAACGCGTTTTTTAATTTTATAAACACCTTAATTAAATTTCTTCTCTTAGTGTTCCCGCAGTCTACTCCTACACAGTACACCGCGCTATCACTTTGTCATCCTTGTAACATTTTAAATATTTGTCGAAATGACATAGTGTAAAAGGCAAAGTTCGTCTTAAAATATCAAAAACGATAAAAATTTCTTCTCTTAGTGTTCCCGCAGTCTACTCCTACACAGTACACCGCGCTATCACTTTGTCATCCTTGTAACATTTTAAATATTTGTCGAAATGACATAGTGTAAAAGGCAAAGTTCGTCTTAAAATATCAAAAACGATAAAAGTGTTTGTTTTGTTAAAAAATAATTTGTTAATACAAAATGTGCATTTTGGAAATAGATATCAAATAATATACATTCATGTAACTTTTATTGTTTTTGCAGTGCAGGCCAAAATGGCTCGGAGATGGGAGATTTTTTTCCGTCTTATGTGACACTTATTGTTATATTTTGGCCAATTCACTCAATAACTACATAAATTATTATATATATGTTATTATCATATATAAGCTATATTACTGTTAGTATTTTTTAGGTGAAAGAGTAACAAAGATCCATACAAACGTAAGATTGAAATTAAAAGCGCAAGTGGTTAATATACAACTTTAAAGCGTTGTAAATCCTAAAAAATCATATAAAATGAAAATGGTGTTAGGAACCTAAACATGATTTTCGATTATCTAGACAGTGATACCCCACTCGACATATTTTGTCAACTTATTTTTTTTACTTCGTCACAATATGGCGCCTAATTTCGTCCATATTGAATTTTGGTTACTATCATATCTTTAGTAGCACTCCCATGATTGAGACGAATCGATTGATGTATGAATCATCAAAGTCGGTCCAGGCGTTTGGTCTCTAGTGTGCCACAAAGGAACAAACATACATAGACTAGATTGACTGTTAAACACTATAATACCCTGTAACCGCGTCGCGCTTCGCGCTCTTGCATTGCGCAGTCGGGTAAAAAGTATCTCAAATACGAAATACAAGATATACTAGATAGTCAAGTATTTAGATAACAGATACATGATACCTTTGGAAAAAGTATTTGAAATACTATTTTTAGCAAAAACGTATCTTGTATCTACAAGATACGTATTTTCTAAATACTTTTTTAAGATATAGGTAGATACTATTTGGAAGAAAGCATATTTTTATTGGTTTTAAGGTTTATTTAAGTTCGTAAATTGTATTAAAATTCAATACTTTTTTCTTAGTTCAAAGCTTGGTTTTGCTAAAGTCTGAATTTAATAAAAAATCATCCGCTCCACTGGAATTGGAGCGCCCGTCTGGAGAAGTAATCTCCACCTTACAGAAGACTACAGTAAAAAAACAGTACCCTTTGTTGGTGTTGTGTTTCTGCCGGTGAGCAAGGTTCCAAGGCTCTACGGGGTAGGGGATTTTGCCAGGGTAGGATTATAATATTAAAAAAATATAAATACTTAAAAAAAACGAAGCATTGATTTCTTATTCTTCTTATTTAAAAAAACCGAGATACTCGTAGTGTAGGACGCCCTGAGACAAGATGGGATGATGATATTCGTAGGCTGGCTGGATTGGGCTGGATGAGAGTAGCACAAAATCGGCAGCAGTGGCGTGCATTAGGGGAGACATATGTCCAGCAGTGGACGAACATGGGTTGATGATGATGATGAGATACTCTTTGGAAAACACTGATTCCTGAATTCGTAGTTAAAAGTAATGGCAACACGACGACAGCAGGTCATGTCGCAGCTACGTGCAGCCTCTTTCAC